TGCTATAAGTCTGGCTATTTTCTCACAATTTATTTTCCCCAAGAAAATATGTGAAGCTGCAACAGTTTTTTTAATTTTCCTTTTTGCATTTTGTAATGATTTTCTTTTCCCATCAGATCTATTTCTAAAAAAAAAGCGTCTGCTTTGATAGGCTGCACACTTTCGCACCCTTTCGTGAAAAACCTTAAGTTTATATCGCAAGCGAAAGTGGCCAGGGTGTTTTGCACAAAGTACTTTGTAACGTCTCCTGCGATTAGATTGTTTCATTTCTTGTTTTGCACCGTAGTTTAAACGTTGTTTAGCTTTATAATATTCTGGATCAGTAGAGTATTTCTGACGCACTCTAGCCTTGTGTGGCTCAGGATCAGTAGAATACTGCTGACGCTTCCTAGTCTTGTGTGGCTCAGGATCAGTAGAATACTGCTGACGCTTCCTAGCCTTGTGTGGCTCAGGATCAGTAGAATACTGCTGACGCACTCTAGTCTTGTGTGGCTCAGGATCAGTAGAATACTGCTGACGCTTCCTAGCCTTGTGTGGCTCAGGATTAGCAGAATATTGCTGCCGCAACCTAGCTCTGTGAGGTTCAGGATTAGCACTGTACTGCACACTTTTTCTTAACCTCTCAGTTTCAATATTAGCTAGATAACGTTTTCTGGCTTTGGATTTTTCTCCTTTAACATGTTCAAGGTACCAAGCTTTAGAAGTAGAACTCTTATTAGTGGATTGTATGCTAGCTTCTTCTGTTTTTCTTTTTTTTATAGCAGGGGCGTTTTCTAAATACCATTCTTGTTTTCTTTTTCTTGCCAGTCTTTCTTTAGAAGGCATACTGATGTTAGATTAGAAAGAAAGTAAATGCAATTAAAACATGGACGTGGTATCTTACCAAATGATCCTAAGAAATGTTCTCAATCATCTCAATGTTCTTGAACTAGATCTCTTCACTAAACATAAACAATGCTGCTCTTTTTGTAAAAATAAACAAGACATCAAATTTTTTTTATTTAGAGCTGGTAATTAAAAATGGTTATAAATAGTTTGGGTGAAATGTATAGACCACGGCACAACTACATCTCATTTCATTTCAATAATATTGTTTGTGTAGAACTAAATTCTACATTTTTTGGTCTTATCTGCTATAAACCAATTAAAAACTTTTTGACACACCTACCAAAATTACTATTTAACAAAAATTGCTACGTTGGAAGTTTTTGAAAACATGTGTTAAACGTATAGTCAACAGGGTGGTTGTTTCTATTTATGATTTTGTCAAGAATATGTTTATTTTAAACTAAACACACACTTTGAAACTGTATAATCTAGTCATCATCCATTAATATAGGTTCTGTGTCTGGGGCTGTAAATTCAGCAATGTTCATCTTGAACAACATAAAATGCGTTGGTGTTACATAAGTGTTCTGATAATTAAACCCGTATATCTAAAGACTAGTGTAAATTGAGCCCTTATTATAGAAGTAAAAATGTAATCAAACAGTTTAGGTTTGTTGGAAATAGCATAAGGCAAAACGAATATTGAAAAACTAATTAATCCTATATTTACATTTTAATTGCTGGTTTAACATACGTAAAGTGACTTTCCCGATTCTTTTATTTGTTTTAGTGTATCAAAACATAAAACAAACCTTAGTACTAGTACTAAGTTTCAAGTTACTAGGTTTCATATGTTTTGATAAGTAGTATTAAACTGTTAAAAATGACGAACTGCTGTACCAGTGTACCATCGGTACACTGCATTTTTCAATGGAAAGTATCGGGGAATATCACTGCTCTAAGTAATTTTATATAGTAAGTAGTTCAAATCATTCGGTATACCTGAAAAAATACTTTATGAAAGTTTTAAAATAATTTTTCAGCTGTTCCTATGAATTTCTCTAACATTTAAATTAATTGAGATTTAATCGCAGCTGGTCCTTCTTTTGTTTTGATTTTAATCCCATGTTATTTAAATGGGCCAAAATCGTACTTTGAGGGCTTGCCAAGGGTTTATGGTTCAACTCACCGACTTGAGACCCTCAAAAGGCACATCTACACGTTAAGGGCTTTCAAACAACATAAAGAACATTAAAATTGAGCCAGTGGTTTGGGCTGTAGGTCCGTCAACATTCAAGGAGAAGGAGAAGGAGGAGAAGGAGAACACGGAAAATTTGTGAATTTTCAAACTAGTTTTTCTTGGCTCAAACACAACAGTTTTTTAAATTCTTTTTTTTATTTTGTTGAGGATGAGTGCCCCTATCCAATAGATGAACAATTATTTTAATAGCTTTTGTTTCTTCAGAGCTATAGACGAGTGAAAAAGCCACTTTGTCACGTCAAGTATATATACACTGCAGCAGCTGTGTACCGCTGGGGGACTTGGCGGGGCGGAACGCTGCCGCGTTCCTTAATATATACACTGCAGCAGCTGTGTACCGCTGGGGGACTTGGCGGGGCGGAACGCTGCCGCGTTCCTTAATGAAGATACACGTGATGTAAATAAATTCCAGTTTAGAAAAATATCAGTATCAGAAGTGAGAGAAGCTATTAATAAAATTACCTCTAGAGCTGTCGGTGTTGATGACATAAGTATTGCAATGATAAAAGCCGTCAGCCTTTATGCCATTGGTGCAATAACTCACCTTATGAATATGTCTCTTGTAAACAGTGAATTTCCACACGCTTGGAAGAAAAGTATGGTACATCCATTGCCCAAAAAACAGATTCCTTCAAACTTTAATGATTTAAGGCCATTATCGGTCTTGCCTGCTATGTCCAAAGTGCTGGAAAAATTAGTAATACGCCAAATAACAGAATTTTTAGATACAGAGAATCTGCTTCCCAAACTGCAATCATGGTTCAGAAAGAACCATAGCACTTGTACTGCATTGATGAATATGTTTGCAGACTTCTTTGGGGCGAGGAGCGAGGGCAGGTGTAGCTCTGTAGTCATGCTTGATTTTTCACAGGCCTTTGATTCCATAAGCCATGGTTTGCTCTTAGCAAAATTGAAAAATTTTGGTTTTCATTGCAATGCGGTTGCTTGGTTTAGATCTTACCTGGAAAACAGACTGCAAGTTACCAGGGTGGGTACCGATATCTCACCTTCCCTAGAGAAATCAAGGGGAGTGCCTCAGGGGAGCTGTCTGGGGCCCATTTTGTTTACCCTGTACACTGCAGATCTGTCCAGATGTGTGAGTCACTGCAATGTGCATTCATATGCCGACGACTGCCAATTGCATTTCTCCTATGAGATCAGGCCGCTGATCAAGCTTTTGCAGGAGTGAACTCTGATCTGGTGAGAATAAGTGAGTGGTCACGCAAACATGGTTTAAAATTGAAATCTGAAAAATGCATGATTCATCATATTGCTACACCCACTACTCTTCACAGAGTTGCTAATGGAGACATGCACGTTCAATTCGCAGGAAAACCTCTAATGACGAGGGATACTGTCAAGACCTTGGGTTTGGTACTTGACAGTGGCTTCACTTTCTCGGACCACATCACTTATGTTTCCCAGGTAGGGAAACTTTGGGAAGGCTGCGTGGTCTGTACCGGTACAAAAACATCCTGCCAGAGACAGCTAAGCTGCAGCTGGTGCAGTCACTAGTGTTGTCAGTGCTCTATTACTGTTTTCCTGCATACGACAACAGCATCTCAAGGGAAGAGATATCCCGATTGCAAAAAGTGCAGAACTCCGCAATTCGTTTCGTTTATGGTATCCGTAAGCGTGAACACGTATCCCCATTCCGGGATGCTGTCAATGGGTGCCGTGAGCAGGGCGCAGACTTGTATTTGACTGAGAAATTTTAGGCTACATTCTGGAAACATGTGATTGAATTTTCAGGTTTCAGAAGGTTCGCTGCAAAGGGAGCGAACCCGGTTAACGGTTAATTTTCTACATTTTCAATAGTCGGGCGAGCCAGAAGGGCTCCCCGCTTGCTTCCTGACTTAGCCAACCATAGTTTGTACTTATATCCTACATAATTATAACTAATTGTAACTTATCCATATGCTGGACTGGACACCCTGAAAACCGGCTGTTTGCTCTTCGAAGGATCGTTGACCAAGACTGAGGACAAGAGTAGGAAGGTGGGGATAGAGCGTTGATGTAGTCGGGACAGGCTACAAGTTGGCCATGCAGCCCGGCTTCGCGAAATGCACACACTATATATTATATATAGCGTGCCGCGATACGTTACACTATTTTAATTTATAAAGGGATTCTGCACACCTACACGAAAATATCTTTCTGGCGGTATACATAGATTTTCCCTGGGGGAATAGTATTCCGCATCGCCTTTAAAACAATAGTTCTATATGAGCGGTGCCTTGGAAGATCATGTGGGTTTGAAGAATAGTTTAACCAGACATATTGATTAGTTTCTATTTTTTCAGTATAAATTGATAATTCGATCAGTTTGTTTAGCAAATTTCCTATTCAAGAAATAAACTATTACCTCAACACTCTTTGATGTGCCCAAGGCATTGCAAAATCCCCTCAGGAAGCTAGACATAACATGGTAAAATAGTTACTTCATGAAAAATTTAAATTTGCACCGTCGAAAATGTTTTCAATTACTTTTGCAAATGCAGGTAAGATATAAAGGTTAGGCAATAATTCTCTGAAATTCCTTTGCAACCATATTCTTAAAAAGAGGTTTGGTTTCAGAAAATGTTTATTTGCAGGGGAAAATACTACTCTGTAGGTATTGTTTTATTATTTGTAGTCAAATAGTTTTATTGTTTTGTGTATTTGTACTGGGCAAAAGTTTTAAATGTTCATTATGCATTGCAAACTTTTACTTTTCCAATAGGCAACTAAAATTACTTTTCAAACTTTGTTTTAAATCAGGACAGTAAAAGTATAACTAGTGGTAGTACGGAATATAAAGTAAATGCTTAAACTAAGTTGTTATGATCTATGGTTTCACTTATTCCAATTGTTTTGTAATTTTTCTCATTACCATATGATTTCTCAACAAATAAATATAAAAGCACAACATTTCATTAACATCAAAACAAAAATTAGAGTCAAAGTACAAATTCAAAGTATAGTTGTTCCACAAGATCCAAAATTATCAAGAAAGAGTTCAAAATTTAAGTTAGCATCGCCATTTTGGAGTTTTATCTTCAATTGATAGGTATGTATTTATTTTTTGCCCTACCCATGTTTAAATACTTATTTCTTTGACTCAATACAATAGTAGTTGGAATATAGTATGTTGCTATGATGACAGTAGACTTCCAAGATAAAAACTATTCAAATGCAAGCTAAACCACTAAGCCCCAATCAAAATAACAGCTAGTAAAGTTACACCCGCAACTTTCTTATAGTTTTCATAGCAGTGAGTGGTCTAGAAATGTCAAGTCCGCGTTATGATTACACAGGGTGCCTCGTAAGCCTTATGCATCTACCTCTTTGTAAGCTAAGTTCTTAAACTGTTTTAAGTAGGCTGTGTTACTTATAATACTTTAAAGGTCAATCTGTCTTTTAAATATTGATTATAACCAGTAGGCTAGAGCTAAAACTTAGTTTTTCCAAAAACGGAACATGTCAGGCTGAAAAGAATTAAATAGGTCCTGAATTAGGATTTCAACAGTTCGTAACTACTGTTTACCTGTTAAATAGATACTTCTATACAGGGAAATTCGCTAAAAATTAGGATGCAATCAGAATAAGACAGGTACTAAAGGCTTGCAAGCATCCACCTGCCGCAAAAGACAACCCTCCAAAAGAACTCCTATTTATTTACTCCCAATGGTATAGCAACTTTACAATAAGAAAATTAGTAATTTCTCAATTTTCCCCGAGATGAAGGAGAACAAAAGTGTAAAGTCATGGTTATACTGTACCTACAACAAAATCAATAAGTTTTAATAACTTGGTGAAATGTATGGAATACTGATGTGCAACCAATGGCCGTTAAATGTATACGTAGCCACAGCGTAAATATTAAACTTCATTAAAGGTTGGTTGAAAAAATTAACATGTTTATGTGAAAGAAACTCGATTTTGTAATAGTTTTGTTCTTATAAAAACTTAATTATTTGATTTTCTTGTTGCAGTGTGATTCAAAATTCACATAATATTTACTTGACAAAATGGTAAGTTTACTTAAATATTAAAATACTTACATGTAGATGAATAATACGGGGTGGTTTTTTTTTACCCAACCCAAATAACTAGAGTACTACAAGACACTTTTTACGACAAAACAAAAAGTGCTTGAAATATACGTACATAATATACCATACCAATATTATTATGTAATATACCAATGTATTATAATGGTATTCCTGATTTTCTTATTTCCTTGCCGATCAGCTAGTATGTTATGAGGTTTTGTGATTTTAGGAGTTAATAAAACCCATTATGGAGTTTCGCAAGGCCCGAAGAGTAGGTATTGTGAATACTTTAACAGCGAAAAAGATTGATTTAGTGTCAAGAAAGGTTTGAAATAAAGTTTCCAGTTAGTTGTGAACCCAGTACCTAATAAATCAACTCTTTATTAGCATGTCAAAAAGTTAAAAAAATTGTATCTAAAAAAAACAAAAAAAAATAAAACGTAAACCTGAAACACTTATCATACCCTATTTTTGAGTTTTTGAAAAGGCAACCAGGGATGCCAACATTAAATAAGCTTGTCTTGTCATGAAGCAGGGCCTCACACTGCTTCTAAATAGAGGTCTGTTTGAAAAAATACCCTAAATACCCTAAATAATAATATAAAAAAATATATATAAAATTTTAATTATGTTACAAATTGGATGAAGACATTAATGGAAAAAAAGGCCATTCCTCATAAGGCCCAGGACATTTTGGAAGAGCAACATTTTGGGGGAGGCCACTATAAAGTTTTGGCTGAAATATGGGAATTGCTGTCAAACGAGTTTTTAAAGAGAAAGTTAGTTTTTTAACTCTGTGTTTTCCAATTGAAATCCTCTTTGTATAGTGTATAGCCTAATATTATTCCATATTTTGTGTAAAACACCTGTTTTAGTATGATTAATATTGACTTGTAGCAGGACAGATCTAGCGAGTGGGTAGCTCCAGTAGAGGACACTTCAAACGTTGACAAAGTAAGTGGACTTTACACTATGTTCAATATCAAATCCTCCTCTTTTTCATTTTATTAACTGAATGAAATAGTAGTCCCCTATCATCTTAACATAGTAATACTCAAAGAAAAAGCCAGAAAATCTTCCAACTGTCATAAAGTTTTAAGTTTTGGGGATGGAAAATTGTTTAACGCGTACTAAGTACATTCAGACCAAAATTATGTTTATACTAGTGCAGTGTTATTGTTTTTTAACCATTGTAACAAGTCTAACAAATCAACATTTAATCATTGTAAATTTAAACTATTTTAATCTCATGCATAAAATTTCTAGTATAAAAGGCAAATACCACTGACCGAAAAATGATGACTATTATATCTCTCAAAATATACAACCTAAAATAGTTGTCAAATTTGCATAGGGGGTCCTTTGATAAAAATTTGAAATTTGAGGGTGGTTTAAGGGGGGAGCTATTTACAGTGAAATTAGACTTTTTATCTTAAATCTGATGGGAACTCGTTTAAAACCTACAAGTGCACAAGTACAAGTGCTTTAAGTACAAACTTGGTGACATTTGAGAAATTGTTGAACATGCTCTTACTTCCAAAATATGTACCTTAATAAAACCCGTAATTTAAAAAAAACTCGAAATGTTCTATTCTAAGACTTAATTTGTAACAAAAGCTGTTACAATTAGCCTAACTGTTGTAGAGTAAAAAGCTTTTTGTTAAAAGTTACAGGTGTACATTATTGCAAACCTGAGTACTCAACCTATTACGAAACCATTTGGACAAGATAAAATCATAAGAAAACTATCTATTTAATCTATAAAAATGCTAGTTTTTAATTAATAAAATCTAACCTTGTCACCTATTGTGTTTACAGCAAACAATGGCAATGGTGACTCAACCCCAAACGGTAAGGATACGTTTTTCAAATACTTTACAACAAAAATGCAGTATGTATTAAGGATATTACATGAACTAGTGTACATGTTGCTCGAAATCGAGCAATTGAAAAGAAGTACAGGAGTTATTTATAAACAAATAACTTGTTTAAAAACTAATAACAGTCATAATTTTCGATGATTTTAAAAGAGTCGACTAAAAGATTATTAACTAATGGAAATGCTCACAATTTACATAACAGTCCTATTCCAGTTTAAAGGTTTAATTTTCAACAACTAAACTGTCCATGGACGGGAAAAGGTAAGCTTACAATTTAAGTCATCGTAAAAAGGCTGTCAGCTTGTATAAAGTACCGTACCAAAGTTATTTAGCCAATTTGTAGACAATAAGGTGTAGGCTACTTTAAACTCTACAGGACAGAGTTAGGCAAAAACTCGGAGAACTCTGAAATGGTGTTATTTATCATAGGCTTACTCATGTGCCAAATCCTGAAAAGAATCAATAACTAATACTGTAACTTATATCATTAAACACAAACCAACATCCAAAACTATACACATTTTTAATACAACATAGATAATTTACACATTGACTGTTTACAATTAACATATGTTCTTCTTCTCACTATTAATTTTTGCTTCACAACGGGAAAAATCAGTTTCATAATCATTGAAATAGATTTATTAAATAATATATCATACTGTCTAAAATTTTGAAATAGGCATTTGACAGTTCTGGTTGTTTACATTTAAATGTCAAAGCAAATGTAAACATTGTGAATTTTGTCATGCTTCCATGGAGACCAATTATTAATATTTAATTTCTGACAACAGCTGGAGTTTCAAAACAATATTTGTTTCCCATGTTAATCTTATGGAGAAATACGAAACTTTAAAGGGCCCTAGGGCCTCACTCTCTAATTATTTCCTTAAAAAGAAAGTTTCCTGCACAACTTCACGTTACGCTCTTTCCAATGACACCAAAAACATGTCAGTCGGTTCAGTTGTTTCGGAGGAGTAATTGTCACAAAAATCCTGCTTGCGTATTAAATAAGTACTAGTGTACATGTTGCTCGAATTCGAGCAATTGTAAAGTAGCCTATTACAGGATTGGCAAACCAATAACAATCATACTTAGCTATCAACATTTCTGCAAAAACACACCTATCTTCCCTGTAGCAGCAAACCTAAGTACTCATATTAAAATTAACTTAATGTTATTTAAATAGGAAAAATGACCATTTTAAGGGAATAATTAATCTTTGTATTAATTAAGCCAGGAGCCAGGTAAATGGAAATTCGCTTAGTCTGAAGGTTGCTGCAGATGCACAATATTAATAACAGCAAAGATTGAAGAATCTGAATTATTACTTATATCCACGAATTTATCTAACAATTATTTCCTGTAAAATATTATTACAGCAGTTCAAAAATATTGAAACTAACTCGATCAACAAATGATGTAACTGAAAGAATTCCATACTAATGACATTAACATATAGTTTGACAGTTCCATTTAATCAATGTTAAATGTTTACATTCGGGCATAGACAAAAATGATTCGGGCGAGTGACATATTTTATTAATGTTTATGATCCCTACCGTTCCTGTTCTAATAATCATGCAGTATTTAATATGTTTGAACCAGCTGTGTGGAATTGTGAAATCAAAATTAATTTGACAGTTAGTTCTGCTTGTTTACATTTTTAAATTTTGTGGGTTTGTTCTTTGTTACCATGGATACCATCAATAAATATTTCACTCTTAATTTCTGACAACAGCTGGAGTTCCATAACAAATTTTGTTTTCCATGTTAATCTTATGGATAAATACGAAACTTTAAAGGGCCCCAGGGCCTCACTCTCTAATTATTTCCTTAAAAAGAAAGTTTCCTGCACAACTTCACGTTACGCTCTTTCCAATGACACCAAAAACATGTTAATTGGTTCAGTAGTTTCGGAGGAGTAATTGTCACAAAAAACCTGCTTGCGTATTAAATAAGTATAGATTATACATTTGACATTTAAAAATAAATAGCTGTAGGCCTACATAATGTCAAAGATATCAAAATGTGGTAAATATACCAATCAAAACAGCTGTTAAAAAAAATTAGTACAGTGGTTTCTTACGGGTTCTTACCGAACATTTTGTAGACTGTTCTAAACAACTTTAAGTCAAAAGTGTGCTTTCACTTTGGATGAACGGGTGAACCCCCTTTATTTGCTAACTGCACTGTACTAAATAGTTTTTAGATTTTGTCTTAAATCCTATTTTTATAAAAGCAGCTGTTTTGATAGTATAAATTATCCTAGTATATTTACCACATTTTGATATTTTTGATATCAAGTTCTTGAGCGTCAGGTTTGGGTAAGGGGGTAGGCATAAAAGTTGGAAACATTATACTTTTTGTGTGTATTGAATATCTCAGAAACTACGCATGCTAACGCAAAATACGTCATTTACGAAAATAATCTACACAAGAATAGTCTTCTCCATTATCTTGTTAAAGTGAGCAAGAAATAATATTATGTTCAGTACAGTAATTAGCATTGAGCATGTGCAATCTGGCTTATATACTTGAGATACATTGCTGCAGCTACACCACTGTGTTATATAAATACAGACATTTCAGATATAAAGGTTCTACTGTAAAATTCAACTATACTTTTTCAGTCTCGAGGTTACCAAATGCCACTTAAGTCTGGTGTCTTATTGAAGAGAAGAATTGTAAGAGTTACTCTTCCTGGCGTTGGAATGGGATCTTCCATTGAAGATGGACATGGTCCATTCCTGGGCCTAAAAAAGGGCAATTTGCCTAATCCAGAACAAATTCAAGGAATAATCAGAGGTCTAAAAGAAAAGATGTGGCTCATCCAGGAGGAATTACATGGTGGCCCGGTTGGTCAACTTGGGCATTATGATTCAAATATCAACATGTTGAAGGTAAGTTTTAAGATTTTTCAATATTGCTTAGCATAGGTATTAATCTGCTCTTATAAAATGTTGGTGACATTTTGTGGATTATATAATTTTTAGTTTTGGCACCTTTACAAAAATAAATTACAATTGAGCAGCATAATCTAAATTTTCTGTTACTAATCTCCCAATAAAAAAATTATAAGGAATTTGTTTAACTATATTATGATCAATGGGTATCATATTGATTTTGAATTTGAAAAAAATTGTTTCTTGTTTATAAACGTTAAGGACAAACCAATTTGATATAGAAGAAAACTGGTAAGTTTGATTATTAACTATAATGTCTTGAATACTCGTTAATTCATAATAACTAGAGGTTAAAATACCTTAATCCGTTAATGTCGTAGTCGAAAGCCATTAAAATGCCGTTACTGAGTGGAAACATCGATTGTAGGCTATCGTAGCCTAAGGCTTAAAAATTAAGTTTCTCAGTCCTAAGCATCACTGATTCACAGCCTTTTCTCCAGTTATCAAAACTTAAGTACAATTTGTTACACGCAGAATCTCCGGTTCCCGACTTGGATGATGCCTAATTATTTATTTTCATTAACAGTTACACATTATTGTACTTGTGATTAATTAACTCCGTTATAAAAAGTCACAAGGTTATTAATTTCACTCAGTATTATGTTTATGGATTCGCTGACAAAACGTAATCAGAGATCGTTGCAGTGTTTTGTAAACAACATAACAGCTGTTCGATATTTTGTAGATGACGTAAACTCTGAACAGATAATAAGTAAATTAATAAATGGCGTAAGAAGTAAACATAAAGAGAAAAGTTGACAAAATAGGGTTTTTGAACGTCCACGTGAGTGGAATTTTTTTCCGAAGTAGTGAGGCCATATTTAAATAGCTAATGACATTCTTGCCAATTCTGTGAATACAATTAAACTATTAAAATCATGATCGGTACTGTAGTTTTATCGGAGTACCCTTGTAAATTAGAATCCTAGCGTTACAGACATAATGACAGATGGACAAACAGACTGACAGAAATTGAGGTAAGACTTGTTCCAGCTTTTGGGGGGTATAATGACCAAAAGTTTATGATTCTACCCGATGTACCGGCAAAACTGAAATTTATTAGTTAACATTTTTGTTAATAACAAAACGTGTACGTTAACAAATGAGGTATATAATAATTGAAAATACATGTATTAAAATGAAACAATCTGTCATCAGAACTCTCTATACAAAGAAGATGCCTCACACTACTCCTATTTTGTATTAAAAAGGTTACTCTGAGGTTAAAGTTTGATTCTTAGTTTCTTCCCTTTCATGAACATAGTTTCTTCCCTTTCATGAACATTCATTTAGATTAGGATTTCACAAAATTATCAATTAACACATAGGCTAGATTTTTAGGAAACAAAAACAACCAATTTTTTTGTAGAACAATAATTAACAAACACATTTTTTTGCTTAAAGGCTTTGGGACCAGGGCAAACTAAGATGTCTCAAAATCAAGTAAGTATCAAGTAATTAAGTAGGATATCTCTTGTAACTATACAAAAAAGTCTACGTAGCTAATAGATGATCAAGAATACATTATCTAAATCGCAACTAATAAATTGCACAAAATTTTATGAATAGGACATAGATTCTCTACAAATTTATATTTTTGACAATTTTGCAAGTCAAAATTCAAAACAAAAAGTAATAAAGTATAAGTAATAAGTATAAGTATAAGAAATAAGTATCACGCGTAAGCATATTCTTATAATAATTATTTCTAGTTTAGTTAAAAATAATTGTTTTAAAGAGAGATTCTGTAACACTGCTTCACTGCATTCTGTTTCAAGTCAAGCCTAGCTGATTTATAAATACTAATTTGCTGCCCGTGCTTTGCAAGTTGATGAGAATGTAAAAGATAAGGCGGTCCTTTAATGCTACTGTAAAAACTGTTGAAACACACCCTAATTGATTATGATTATAGGAAGCAAATCTCAATTGTACCATACTGTTTTTTATATATATATATTTTCACCCCACGCTGTAAACAAAACATTGGAATTGCTTCTGTTTGCTTTGAGTTTCTGTTAATATTTCGTTGTTATTTCATCACTAGCATGTTAATGTTTTAACATTTTTAAATAAATGTTTGCCTTTATATTTTAGCGTTTTTTAATTTACTAAGGGATTCTGTACATCTACGGACGAATATATTCTTTTTTACAGTATACGTAGATTTTCTCTGCGATGCACACGAGCTGAGAAAAAAAGTTTCAAAGATACACGCTTGCCTCAATGTTTAGATATCCACTAATTCAAATTGAATGTTAGTAAAAAAGGTTATGAACATACTACTATGTAAAGAATATTTGATATATCAACACCCTTGTTGTTGAACTTAGTTCTAACTTTTGTTAGGACAAGCTAGAACTTGTTATAACAATTTATAACTTTTGTTTGTTCCAAGGTTAGAACAAACAAAAGTTAGAACTAAGATCTTATATAAGTTTTTAGTTTTTTGAACTATTTTGTTACTAATTGTGGACAGCAATATCAACTAATTGGTGTAGGACAGCCCTTTAATGATCAAAGACACATATGGTGAAACAGTCAGATAGGAGACCCTCCTAACATAGTAAGAACTGATGTTGTGTGAGATTTGTTGTAGTTTAGAGGTTTTATGATGCTGTGGAGTTAAAAAAGGGAAAGTTTTGCATTAAACCCTTTGTGAGGCTATAAGTTGCAAGAAGGCGTGAGTTTGTTCCATATGTAAAATAGAGTGAGTGACTAAAAGTTGATTGTGAAGTGACAAAGAAGGACAATCATTATAACCATACAGAGTGACTGGTTGATGTCTTTGTCCGTGTGTGTACAGAGCTAGAGTCAAAATCTGTGGCTGATGTACTGAAATTTGATATCGTAAGCTCTTTATGTCTTAACTAATTTTGTGAGTGGTTAAGAAAATATGTAAAACCATGTTAATACTAAGAAGCTAACAAAAATATATTATAGAAGCAACTCGGAGGATGCTGTAAACATGTGTGTTAAAATTTAAAATCTAATGTATTTATTCCACGATTTCAAAACATATGATCAAAGCTATTAGCATAGGATTCGGGCCAACAACGACATTTGTTTATGTTTATGATCCATACCGGTATTTTTCTAGTATTCTCGATTCGTTCTATATTTTATTGTTAGGTTGAGCCGTGACTACATGCCACGACTCATTTTTTGTTTCAAGTTGTTCAAGTTTTTGTAAAGTATTAAATTTGTTGTGAATAACTGAACCTTTTTAGAAAATAAGGCTTTAATAAACTTAAATTGTTACATAGTTGTCAAGGTAAACAAATCTCTAATACAAACAACAAGTAAATAAATACTTCAGCTGATTACTAAAAACAGTAATTCATAACACAGTTGTCCGCTATGCTCGGTGTCAACGAGACGATTTATAGGATACATGGCTGGTAATGAGGTAACATAGTTGTGATTGTCAACCTTGGTGAATCTTAATCAATGTGCTATACATTTTATTTATATTTTGTCGTGTATTTCCGCAAGACAGATTTTCACTGGGGTCGTCAGAACATTAACATTTACAAAACACGTACTCGAGCGCAAAAAGCCCATCAGTGGCTGACGTGCAATAGGACAAGGTCCGCCCCTACAGAATCAAACACGTACTCATTGTCACGTACGCAGTGTTTTACTCATTTACTATAAAAAAACTTGAAAGACTTGAAGAAAAAAATGAGTCATGACATTTAACATAGGTGGTACGTAGTCATTGATCTAAGTTAAGGCTAAGATAAAGAGTTTATTTTCGTCTATTCTAAAACAAATAATCTTTACTTGGGTTTATTTGATCCAATATATCTGATTTTTAGACAAAACCTTTGGAAGGAGGGCAGACAGACGTTGGACATCCTATGATGGAGATCGACTGCGAATATGAGGTAATATACTGGTATATGAGGATCTCCAAAAGTCGTGGACATAGACATTTTCTGTGTTCGTGTGGCCATTATCGTTGTTTTCCGCGATCGTCGCAATATTCTAATCGTCTCCCCCGGTTGTATGGACATCACTAGGTATTGTCTCCCTCGATCACGGCCTAATCCTGAATATCCCTGCAATACCGGACAAATCATCGCCGTCCTCCATGATTACGACACAATCTCCCTCGGTTATTTAGACATCATCGGCCCCCTTGTTCACAGGAAATGTATGATAAGCACCCGCGGTCACGGCGAAATTCTGGTTATCCCCGCGGTATCAGGTGGTTTCCCCGCGGTCGTGTTTACTTTACTATCGTCTCCTGCGGTCACTTAAAACTCCTGATTATCTCTGCCGTAATGGAATAATCATCATCAATAATACTAAATTTAGAACGTGTAGAAAAAGACAAATTACTTCCTAAACTGCACTGCGATGACAAATAGGTTTGCAGACTTGTTTGGGCATATTATTCATTATATAGACTCTATATCGGGGTCGCCGCTATTTTATCCCCCTGGAATTTTACCCCCTGGGCAAATCTGACGTCACTAAGACGTAGTAACCTGAGCGCTCAAAAGTTTGTTCGCGGGCGGAATTTTACCCCCGCGGATTTGGAAGTATCATGAAAATAAACAGAGCGTGATTAATTAGATTAGCGATAAAAACCGAAATTTTACCCCCTGTCCATATAACTAGCGTTTAGACAACTGAAGATATACGGGACGGCTTTTTATCCCCGGAATTTTACCTCCAGATTTTTACCCCCCCAGGAATTTTACCCCCTGAAGGATATATAAATTATTAAAAATGATTGATTTTCCTATTTCTGTTTTTATTTAATTGTAAACATTTTATTATTAATTAGCCAGAGTCAGTGGCATGCTCATGTACTACAATAATATTATTGTAGTAGCCCGCAGCGAATGTGTTAATATTTTTTAGGCTACACCTATGTACTTTTTCGTCATATACATAGTACCTCGTAACTTGAACAATTTGCATGTTCAGTGATGAAAAATTGAAAGTAAATACCAGGTAAATGGAATAGAAGGACTTTATGGGTTTCATACTATTAAGAATCTTTTACACTGTATTAACAAAGTAATTGTTTTTAGAGAATACATAGGATTTACAAGCTGACGTCTCAACTTCCTGAACAGTCTTCTATTATAGTTGAAGGGTCGATGAATGATAATGCTAAATGGTAAGATAAACTTTTCAGTATATTTATACACAAGTTCTATCATCAAATAAGCAATACTTAATTATTTGATCACTTTGTCCACAGGTGAAATATCATTATGGATTTTATAATATCATTATAAGATCAATTATAATTTTTAACAAATATAGCATAATTAACAAATTATTTGTTTTTAGACAAACCTGCATAAAAAATGAATTCAAACAAAATATCGTATAAATTCTTTTCATGTGGAGTGGGCTTTAGTTAGTCTACATTCTGAAATTAACATTTTTATGTAAATTTTTTGACAAACTGTATAGATTTTCCTAGCCAACTTCGGCCAAAATGGTTACCATAATTTAAATTAGGCCTATTGCCACCTCTAATTTTTCAATCTTGTTTTCATGTAAAACTTGTATGCATGGTATTGGAGTTTAAACTTTTTATTTATGTTCGTGGTTTAATGTTGTTGTGGTGCAAGATAAATGAAGATTTTAAAGTCTTAATCAAGAAAATCCGAATTCACTAAGTTGTTCTGAATAAATAGGCATTAGCCAAACTAACCTCCAATCATTTCAGGTTTGAAGTGACCTTCTTGGTTGGAGAAATAAAAGAAGATTGCTATTATGACCTAGACAAATATCCTGAAATTGCATTACTGTTTCATCCAATGACTGGTAGCACTCGCATCAATATCTACACATACCGTAATTACCGCTCGAAATATATGAAATACGATGGTTGGGGTTATTCTAAGGGTTCAGTTGATGAAAAGTTTCCGTTCCGTCCAGGACAGCCGTTCTACATAGAATTCTACATCACCAAAGACCAGTTTCAGGTTAGTTTCGGATAAGTCTAAAATAGCTTTTAAAATCAGCAATTCATCTTTATCAAATTAAGAAAATCATTGTTCTGATACTTTAAATATACTAAATACTTTTTTAAATTCTCATCAGCTCTTGTTAAATTTAAGCAATGTTATGGTTTTTACAACAGGAAAAAGAAAACAAATTGTACAATTGGAAGAAATCACCACAACAAGGTTTTTAGGATTAATTGTAGACAAAAATCTTACATGGAATAAGCATGTTGACAAAAGGCAAAGCCCTCACTGACACACTCACTCACTCACTCATCACTAATTCTCCCACTTCCCATTTACCTAGGAGGCTGAAATTTGGCACATTGATTCTTTAGGCATTAAATAGGAAAACTAAGTTGTTTTTATTCTGATCGGACTCTCGGGCTCCGCCCCAGTAGCTCTGGAGTTTCCCATGTTAACCTTATGATTTTTCATATTTAAAAGGAATTAATGAATCTTAACAGCTGTTTCAATTAAACAAGTTGGTTCTGTTCTATGATGTTCAATAGCATTAAAGTTACAAGGATTACCAACAGGGTGCGGCACTATTATTATTTTTTTATTTATGACAAGAGCTAATTTGCAACTAAAAGGTGAGTGAGCGTAGCAAACGAACTTCAACCTGGAGGCGAGTTATCGTAGCGAACGAGCTAATATGAAGGCAAGTGAGCGCAGCGAACGAGCTCCAACCTAAAGGTGAGTGAGCGTAGCGAACGAACTTCAACCAGGACGTGATTGAGCCACGCGAACGAGATCATCTTGAAAATTAAGAAGTTAAACGGAGCAAAGCCCGCGGGTACAGCTAGTATCATATAATTTTCATATTTCCCTTGGGCTATACATTTACTTTTTGTTTTAAAAAAGATTTGTATTTATAAATTATTTAAGTTCAGTTTTAATCGATTCACCCACAAATTTAATTATTGTATATGGACAATTGTTGCAATAATTGACGTGTCTTCTAAAATGTCCAACAACATTATTGTTTTATAGAAATTACAAGTGTTATGACTTTGTATTATATGTGATTTTAAAGCCATATTATTTTCATAGATGAAATCACAAACTTTGCACAGTTTCACCATCGTTTGATGTATTAACTTGTAGTGGCGAATGAGGTTGCTTTTGTTGGAGATCGACACGGAGCAGTGTTGACATGACGGCTTCGTGTTAAGGAATGAGGTCTCGGGCTGATGTCACCTCTACATACAGGGTGAGTTTTAATTGTCCCCCCCCCAACTTTTTTCTACATTTTTTCAAATATCAATCCCAGACCACTTCCAAACAATGTTGGGTAGTAAGTACTTAATTTTGACAAGGTGGTCATTTCCGGCCGCTATCTTGGATCCGCCATATTGGATGCAAAATATTTTTTTCAAATGTAAAGGTGGGGTTGTGACCCATTATTTTGAACTACATTTCTACCTTGATTACAATGCCGCAAACCGTTTAAAAAAATATTGATTCCTCCCAAAGTTATGAGGGTTTTTTAAAACTTTATTTTTAACCCATTTTAACATCGTGCATTTACAAACTAAGACCACAATCTCAAAATAGTGCTAGATAAAGATAAGTATACACTACCAGTCATTGTCCACCTATTTTCACTTGGTTATTACAGATGTATTTTATTCGGCCGCCATCTTGGATCCGCCATTTTGAAATGTGATAAATTATTTTAAATATGAAAGACGTGTTGTGACCCATCATTTCAGATTTTTTTTAAGCTGAACTCAATTCCATGATCCGTTTTTCAATTTTATTTTTTTATTTTGAAATATTGACACTTTTAACAAAAAATTTGCAATATATCATAAATAAAGCTTGATAACAAAAAATGGATTGCGGCATTGAGTTTAGCCTAAAAAAGTAGTTCGAAATGATGGGTCACAACACACCCTTCATATTTAAAATAAATTATCACATTTCAAAATGGCGGATCCAAGATGGCGGCCGAAAAAATACATCTGTAATAACCAAGTGAAAATCGGTCGACAATGACTGGTAGCGTATACTTATCTTTATCTATCACTATTTTGAGATTATGGTCTTAGCTTGTAAATGCACAATGTTAAAATGGGTTAAAAATAAAGTTTTAAAAAACCCTCATAACTTTGGAAGGAATCAAGATTTTTAAAAACGGTTTGCGGCATTGTAATCAAGGTAGAAATTTAGTTCGAAATAATGGGTCACAACCCCACCTTTATATTTGAAAAAAAATATTTTGCATCCAATATGGCGGATCCAAGATGGCGGCCGGAAATGACCACCTTGTCAAAATTAAGTACTTACTACCCAACAATGTTTGGAAGTGGTCTGGGATTGATATTTGAAAAAATGTATAAAAAAGTTGGGGGGGGGGGACAATTAAAACTCACCCTGTATAGACTTTTGGAAAATTAAAAGAATTTTCAACTAGAAATTATGAAATTTTATAATAGTAAAAAAATACTATAAATTAAGAAATTTTTACATAATTAAAGAAAATTTAACTAGAAATTACTTCAAGAAGATAAGGCTGTTCAATAAGGCTGTTACATATATATTGACGTTTACATATTGTTAATCAACTTATCTTATAAATAATTATGTGATATAGTTTAAAAGGAATATGACCTTTCTGACATGACAGTAGCTGCTTAAAACGTATTTTCTCTTTGTACGATCTTTTACAGCCAAAATGTCGTGTTATTTTCAATAACGTTACCAAACCGCGCCAAAGTCCGTAATATAGGCTGGTGCAAATAATTTGTCAAGAGGGGTAACATTTTAGACAAAGTTTCTATGTTTGGATTTTATTAGACACGATAAGAGCAGATACTTCTTCATAAATATTTCATATGTGTTGAATAATATTGTAGGCAAAAGTGGTGAAAAGGCAGACATAAGATACAATACGATATAAGATAGTTCAATAAGAAATAATTAAAGAATTGTTGTGATAAAAGGATTTTCCACTGATTACGTAATGGAACGTTATATTGCAAAACATGACATGATAAAGAAGAAAATCAATTTTACAATCAGAAAATAACATTGCAAATACTTATTTGGTAGAATTCAGTAACTCCCAATAAATGTGTGTTGTTTGAAATACAATTTAAAAACAAACAGCTGTTTCATTAAAAAGTATTATTCACATGGCCAAAATGTAACAACTCTGTGGAGGGATCTTTAAAGGCTTCCTGGGCAGAGTCCTAAAGCTATGGTTCCACAGGATGCGGAATCTCCGCCGTGCGGTGCGATTTTTTTCCGCTGCGGAATTAAAACGACACTGGTTTAATGGAGTTTCCATGTGTGCGGTTCCACTGACTTGCGATTCCGCATCCCGAATTTTCGGTTCCGCATGGCGGAGAAATCATACTGGTCTGAGAGCAGTAGCAGTGCGGATTCCGCCAGCGGAGAAGAGCCATCAAATATTGTGACCGTGCAGTTTCATTATGTCTTATGCTGTAAAAAGAGTTATAGATGAACGATTATAAAGTAACACCTGTAATCGTAATGCCGATTTTCAACAAACTAACTGTTAAAATCAATTATTATAATACATTTAACATAAACTGTCGAAAATGGTAGACCTGACTAACAAATATCCTGAGATGTTTGGGTATCAAGTGTTAAACGGGACCTCGTGATTGAAACCCCTTAAGTTTTGTTAAATAAATAGCAAAAATAGGCCCCTTCACTGTCTCGATTCTTAAATATGTCACTTCGATCACTGTGACTTGACACGAACAAAGATAAAAGATCGACAACATCATCATCAATGTCATCATATAGCATCAAAGCCAAAAGGGCTTTCCTCTTTCTATCCATACTCGTCGCTAGTTTGGACAGAACTGAATCTCCGCAACGTTATTTTCGCAGTCTGTAGAACCACCCCTCTAGATATTTCGCTGCGTAATTTTCCGCTGCGAAAAATTACGCACCGCATGGCGGAGATTCCGCATCCTGTGGATCCATAGCTTAAGGGATTTTGATTAGTTTTTCTTTTGATAACTCATCTACTGACCAAGACCTTTCTTGGGACACCTCTACCAAGTTTCTACGCCCAGCCGTTCTCTCAAATAAGTGGGGACAAGGTTTCCAATTAAATATTTGGATTCCCCCATGTTAATCTTATGGGAGAAACTCCAACTTTGATGGCCTGTGGGGCAAAGTCCGAGGACTTGTATTATAGGAATTGGTGAAAGGGGGCGTCTACACAAAAAATACTTAATTTTGACACATTGTTTTTAAAAATCCGTCCATTATTAACGGAGGAGTAGTGTTTCGTAGGAATCGCCTACACGTATTATATATAAGGATAATCTTTTCTCAACAGTAATAAGTGATGCTTTTGCTTTTGTACTGTATTTTGTAATTTGATAGTATTCCGTGGGTAAATGCCTTTATGAACACATGCTACAACTTACAAGTCTTTTGTTTACTTTTCCTTGTGTTATTTAATTCATCCAACATGATTACTTAGCAACCCATAAATAATGTTAAAAAAATGTGACTTTCAATTTCATTTTTCAACGTAATTAGATTTTTGTAGGCAGATCTAACTGCAGTAAACTCGTTTTAGGCCAGAAATAAACTATTTACAACATTTGAAGAAAATCGTCGGAGCCGTTTTCGAGATCTTTCTGCAAGCAAGCAAGCATACATACATACATACAAGCAAACGTTGCTCATATTAGAGTATAGGATTATATGTGGGAATAAATCTTAAATAAAATTAAAGTTTTTCTGTACATTGCTCAGAATTATATATTTTTTGGTTATTATTACGTTTTATAGATTAAAGAAGCCGAAACAGGTATAATATCAATTTCTGTCTGTTTGTCTATCTGTCACGGCCCAGAAGACATTTTACGCGGCCTTCTCCTGAAAACAAAGAGTACCTATGCAAATTAAAATCATTTTAATGTAGTCACTGGATTGGCAGGAGTGTCCTTAGCCATAGAAAAATTGGCCTCCTTACTTTGTAAATAAAATGACGGACGTCCAAAACCCAAATTGTGTGTGATTTTTGTCAAGTTTTCTCCCATTGTTTACCACATACATGAAATAACGAATAGCTGTTTGGATCAAGATTTTTTTTCTAGCTGTCACTGATATGTTGACATGAAATCTTTTTGACAAATACTGCAACCATTTACGATCACGTTTTGAAAGCAAAACCAAACCAAGTGTGGTTTAAAACGTCGTTCCTTACATAACAGATTTAATTAGTGCAATAATGTGTAACGGTAAATGAAATTAAATAACTAGGCATCCAAGTCAGGAACCGGAGATTCTTTGTATATCAAATTGTTCTTTAGTTTTGACAACCGGAAAAAGACCTTGAATCAATGATGTACAACTTAAATGTTTTTATTATCGTCGCCAAAAGCTTACGAAAAAGGTTTCTACTCATTGATGGCACTTCAATGGCGGTTGTGTAAAGTGTAAAGGAAATAATCACAACTGCAGTGGCTGATTGTAACAGAGGTTTAAGGATTATGTTTAACTCGCTTTTCCAATGTCCCTACGTAGGCCTAACAAATTATTCACAACCAAATTTCGACGACGATCCTTGATACCGGTACTTTTCCCTAAAATGCATGTCCTACCTACTTAGGAAATAAAATTACAAACGTTCAAGAACCCAATCAGTCCTTTTTTTCAGTGTTCCACGGAAAAGACAAGAGCACCTTTATTAATGAAAATGTCACTTGGTATAAAGTGTTCAATGGTGAGGTTTGAGGTAGTATTTAGACTACTTTCAACCAGTGTGGAAAGTAACTTTCAATTATACGCCTACCTCAAGGATATGCCTCATTGATCTATATAGCAATTTTTTAATCGTTGGATATAACGTGTACCGACACGATTCGGGTGACATTTAATTGTGCAGCTTTTTTTCTTTTTTTTTGCTCGAAACTGTCAGATATTGTATTTGCGAAGGTTTATCAAATGTCCTATAATTGTTTTGCCAGCTTATAGTATATTTGGAAATATGCAATCCAACTGCAGATCTGAATATAATAAGCTTTTAACTGACTACAAGATCCCCGTGCGTAGAATGGGCGCACAGCAATAATATAGATATATACATGAATGGGTTGTCCAAAAAACATACTTTCTCCTCTTAATACAGGCTGTTTGTTTGTTTACTTACTTCACTTACTATACATACCAGACTATACTTCCTATAAGTAAACTTTCTCTGGGCTCAAAACATTCAAAACTTTAACCACTTATCTTTTGTTGTTTGAATGCTTATGTAGATTATTGAAGGTAGCGAAATTTAACAGTTCCCCCTTAATATTTAAGAGTTTCTAAAGCATTTATAATGCTATAGCCTTGTTTATTGGCTGGGTAGGTTAACAGTCAGTCCTGAGAAAGGGTAATATTATTTAGACTTTATAAACTGAACTCAGCTGTTCTTGGATTGTTGGGCCTTTTAAAACTAATCTTCCCCTGGTGTGTTTCTGTCAGGTGGCTGTGGATGGTCAGCACTACATCTCCTACTCTCATCAATTATCTTTTAAGGATATTAACAGGATCCAGGTTCGTGGACATATAACTCTGGCTAACGTCGACTTCCAGAACACCCCCAAGTACCCTTCCCCTCTGCCACAGGTGGGTGAATTTGCTGTGTGTAGATAATTGATGATATTCAAGCGTAAAGCCCAGAAATTGAAAAGTGCCACTATCATTAAAAACATAATCTATATATGAAAAATCCTATTGAGTCAATGTAATTTATTTTAATATGTCTATATAAAATAAAAATTTAGAATAATCTTATTTAAAAAAATACCTTGTTCGGGAGATATTTTCTTATCGCTTCTTTGGGTTTCACGAAAACTATTCAAGGCATACAGTTTTATAAAGGCAAAATATATTTTAGAAAGAGCAATCAATTAAAATCTGGTTTGATTTTAAGATGGCAGGCATTATAATTTTTAAATCTTAAATTGCAAAGAAATTCTGCTTTTGTAAAAAGGTGCCAGATTTTTGTCGGTTTGAAGATGTCGAACATTTTATTTGTACGATATAATTGAATTACTAAAAAATGTCTGCTTTTATGAAAAGGTGCCGGATACACTTTGATTAAGAATTTGAAATTTCCTGTAAAATGACACCAAGTTCAATAAGATCGAATAATGAATACCTGTCAAATCAAAGGGTTTAGGCACAAAAGAATGGATTTATTTTTCTGTTTGAAATATATATAATAACAAACTGTCTACGTTGAGCCATGATTACGTTCCACCGAAGAGTGTCGCGACTCATTTTTTCTTTCAAGTTGTTCGAATTTTTAAGTACTACGTGTCTTGGAAATTTTGATCTTCAGTAGACAGCTTTACTTACCCGACGACCACCCTTCTGATTAGGAGTAAACCTCGCAACTGCAACCAAGCAAACACCATTGGAAGCGTGTTCCCAGATACGAGGGGCGGCTCACTCCTACCTAAAGGAATGGTTAAAAACAATCCATGGTTTGAGAAGAATAGCCATAATAAAAAAAATCATCAATCCTTTTTATCAATCTTTTGCCAAAATAATAAGCCGTATTAAAATAAATCACTTAACATATAAAACATATCGCTCAAATACAATATAGTACATATACAATAAAAAAGATATCAGCTATGAGAGAGGGAATGTAGGACTAACTTTACATAAAAATAGAGTCAATAAAAATACTTATGTTCAGTATTTAAAAGGCCAGCTGATCATATGTGTGAGAGAGAGAAAGAGCATATTAAAAAATCCCCACATGGCCACAACAATTCAACAATCCAATTTATAAAAAATGAAAACATTCTGGTTTCAAGTGCAATTTTCTCTCTCGTAATATCGTTTCTTTGTGTAACATCGTTCATTTCTCTCTCCTTTTATTTTGACTTGCTTCATTTACCTTTTCCTTTTGTGCGCATTTAATAAACCCTTTTTAATTTGACTCTAAATTCTGTGTACCGTTAGAACATTTGGACATTCATCAAGCATATTTTCTCGGCTAGACAACATTCGACCAGATCTTCTTTCAAGACTTTTAGAACGTCATAGTGGTAACATAACTATACTTCAGTGTTAAAAATTAAACCAAAAGTCCATAATTATTTTCTGTTGTTATCAAGATTAAATTAATAACCCATATACAGTCCAGTTTTATTATATGAAAAAAGCCTTTTGAATACTCTACAACTTATATTTATATTACTTGGCTCCTTAACTTTATCCATCGTTGAAAAGCGGAACACAACAAAAATAAAATTTCATGTATAGCATCGATTAAAATTGGCCAGTGTTGACAATTACAACGATGTTTACTTATTACCAGCCATAGAATCTCTAATTGCCTCCTTGACAGGCAGGAGCTCGGATTCGCCTAATCTAGCGGACATCTGTCCACTATGGGGGCGTTAGAACATCGACCGTTTTAAAACACGTACTATACAAAAACTTGAACAACTTGAAGGAAAAATGAGTCATGACACTTCTCTGTGGAACGTAGTCACGGCTAAATGTTTAGAGTAAGAAAAAGAGTTTATGTACTTTCAAAAACAATTCATCCTAACCTGGTTTTAATTTGTTGCTTTTTAGACCAAACCTGCGGAAGAATGGCAGACGGACTTTTTACATCCCATGTTGGAGATCGACCGCGTGTTACAGGTAATATACTGTTCATCTCCTACAGTCGTGGAGACATCTTATAATACGGTGCAATTAGACCTAAACCGGGACATCAAAAAAAAAAGTTTCAAACCAGCGCCAAATTGTTGAATACACTTCCCTCAATATGTAAAAAAAGTTACACTGATTTGAGTGTCGGGTTTGGGGGGAAGGGGGTGAAAATGGGGTGAAAATAGGACTTTTTTACTTTTTTGCAAATACCTCAAAAACGGTGAGTTTTTCTTAAAATACAATGAATTACAAAAATAATCTACATTAAATTTCGAACAAAATGATACCATACAATACCTATCTACAATGAACGGTTCAGGAGATATTGAGGGGTAAATGTGATTTTTACTTAAAATTCTAAAAAATTTTTTTTTTAAATGGAGAAAACCCATGGACACCCATAAAAAAAGTTTCTATTGAGTGCCAAATTGTTCAATATACCTCCCTTAATATTTGTAAAAAAGTTACACTGATTTGAGTGTCGGATTTGGGAAGTAGGGTTTAAAGAAAATGGGGTGAAAATAGGACTTTTTTACTTTTTTGCAAATACCTAAAAAACGGCGAGTTTTTCTTAAAATACAATGAATTACAAAAATAATCTACATTAAATTTCAAACAAAATGATACCATACAATTACCTATCGACTATGAACGGTTCAGGAAATTTTGGGGGGTAAATGTGATTTTTTCTTAAAATTCTAAAAAAAAATTTTTTTAATGGATAAAAACCATGGACACCCATAGAAAAGGTTTCTAATGAGTGCCAAATTGTTCAATAGACCTCCCTTAATATGTGTAAAAAAGTTACACTGATTTGAGTGACGGATTTGGGAAGTAGGGTTTAAAGAAAATGGGGTGAAAAAAGGACTTTTTTTTACTTTTTTGCAAATACCTCAAAAACGGAGAGTTTTTCTTAAAATGCAATGAATTACAAAAATAATCTACATTAAACTTCGAACAAAATGATACCATACAATACCTATCTACAATAATTGGTTCAGGAGATATTGAGGGGTAAATGTGATTTTTTCTACAAAATACAATTCTACAAAAATTGTTTTTTAAATGGAGAAAACCCATGGACACCCATAAATTATCTTAATCCAATAAAGAATTTTAAAATGGTGGCCATATAAATATTTTAAATTTAAATTGCAAAAAAGGCTATTTTTATTAAAAATTTAATGAAAACTTTTATTTAGGTTTTAAAATTCCCTATCAAACGACACCAAGCTCAATAAGATTGAATAAAAATGTAAAATTATTAAGATCAATGCTTCGCTATTCAGGTTTGCCTCATTTTACAACTAAAAATCGTGATATTTCATTTATTTCTTCTTATTATTTTCATTATTTTAAAAGCTAAATGAAGTTCATAAAAGTCTCATAAAATTAGTAATTTTTTAATTTCAATTTTAAAAAATTTAAATGGCCGCCATTTTGAAATTTTTTATTGGATTAAGATCATTCTTTTTCTAACGAGAGTCTATTTTACCTCAACATACATACCAAGTTACATAATGATCGGTTAAAAAATTCAAAGATAAAATACTGTTTATGTGTAAAAAAACAAAATGACAAATATCTGGTTAACGAAGTGATTTTGGGAAATAATTTATTCTTGATTTTCTTATTATTTTGACCCATAGAACTATTTTCTGGAGTTTGGCTGTTCTTACTGGTCACCCTGTAGGATGTCTCACGTAAAGTGAACCAATAGCGTTGAAACTCACCTTTTTTTATTATGAGTTATAGAGTTGACTTCTTATGGAGCACTCCCCTTTACTTTTTAGATGTTTTTTGGGATGATTTCCAATTTTAAAAATATGTTTGCCATTTTCCAATATGGCTGACAACTTTGTTATTTCTTATAGAACACCCTGTGGTTTATGATTGTTTTATAATTCAAATGCAATTTTAAGTCATTTTTAATTTTGACATTTTCTCTTAAAAACTACTCATTTAGGAGTTACAACGTAACGTGTTACACTTATGTTTTTTTACAATTTTTTTTACAAGGAAATCAATATTTTTATCGTATTTTATTATTTTATTAGAATGTAGTTGGAATTTTTACAACCGTTCATAGTTGATAGGTATTGTAAATATGATTGTGTTTGAAATTCAATAAAGATTTTTTTTGTAATTCATTGTATAAAAAAGCACCCTTTATGAGCCTCCCTTTTTGAAAAGCCCTCCTACCAAATCAGAGACTCAAATCAGTGTAACTTTATTGCACATATTAAGGGAGGTCTATTGAATAAATTAGCACTCATTAGGAGATTTTTATGGGTATCCATAGTTTTCATAAATTTAAAAAAACAACTTTTTTAGAATTAAAAGAAGAAAATCACATTTACCCCTCAATATCTCCTTACCCGTAAATGGTAGATAGGTATTGAATGGTATCATCTTTTTTCTAAATTTAATTTAGATTATTTTTGTAATTCATTGTATTTTAAGAAAAACGCACCATTTTTTAGGTATTTGCGAAAAAGTAAAAAAAAGTCCTATTTTCACCCCATTTTCTTTAAACCCTACTTCCCAAATCCGACACTCAAATCAGTGTAACTTTTTTACACATATTAAGGGAGGAATATTGAACAATTTGGCACTCATTAGAAACTTTTTTATGAGTGTCCATGGTTTTTCTCCATTAAAAAAAAATTTTTTTTAGAATTTTTAGAAAAAATAACATTTACCCCCCAATATTTCCGGAACCGTTCATAGTAGATAGGTATTGCATGGTATCATTTTGTTCGAAATTTAATGTAGATTATTTTTGTAATTCATTGTATTTTAAGAAAAACTCACCGTTTTTGAGGTATTTGCAAAAAAGTAAAAAAAGTCCTATTTTCATCCAATTTCACCCCCTCCCCCCCAAACCCGACACTCAAAACAGTGTAACTTTTTTTACATATTGAGGGAAGTGTATTCAACAATTTGGCACTGGTTTGAAACTTTTTTTTGGATGTCCCGGTTTGCTGTTTTTTTAAGCTAATTGCACTGTACTATTAATCTTCTTCCACAATCACTGCGAAATCGCGAATATCCTCCACAGTCACGGAAACATAATCACTGTCCGCGGTCACGTAAAAATCCTGAATAACCCTGCAATGACGGAAAAATAGATCATCGTCCTCATCGATCCTTATAACCCTGATTATCTCCCGCGGTCGTGTAGACCTCGTCATCGTCTCTTGTAGTCACTGCAAAATCCTGAATATCCCTGCAACAACGGAAAAATACATTATCGTTCTCCTTGATCACGACATAATCCAAATTGTTGTGTAACCCATTTTGAGGATGGATGGGTAAAACCAGCCTTTTTATTTGTCTAGTGTTACCATAGGCATAGCCTACAAGCCCTAACTAAGGTTATAGGTTAGAAAGTTAGGCCTAACTTATGATAAGGGCAAGAGTTAGGAAAAGCATGATACACGTTTGTTTTGGTAAATACGAGCAAGTGAACTATGATGGTGTGTTAACCCATAGATGAGTTAATATTACCATGCCAGTTAACTTTCATTCATTTTGAATATGCCTAAACAATTTAATCTTGTCATGAAAACAAATTCAGTAGAAGTCAGCATACTATGATAAGATGTGCAAGTTTAGCACGAACCAACTGGCACAGGAGGCATGTTGAGCATTTGCCTGAGTACGATCGTACGATGTTTAAACGTGTTTGCCATAAGAATTTGAAATTGTAAACCAGAAATGTATAAATCGTTGTCGTCTTGTCTACTTGGTCCAACGTTACGTGTCCGCGTGTCCGTGTGATAAGCCGCAAACCAAGGTTGTCAGCTACGGTAAACGGATAAGCCGCCACCCGGGCTGTAGCGCCGACATGGGTTCCTTCCACTACAATCCTACACTACAACAGTTATTATTGTCATCCTATTCTATATCACCAAATCCAATAAAAAAAAACACAAATTATACTAGTTTTTCAAAATCACTGACACAGTAAGATACAGAAGTGACCGATCTGAAAACAAATTGGACTAAAATTAAGTAATAAACCGGTGCTATAACAATATTCCCCGCCGAATGCTGAACACACGCCGAGTAGTTGTTGGTGCGTTTCAGGCGTTTATTACTCGTATTCATTTTCTACAAATATCAGGCATTTTTCTTTTCAAAATGCATTCTGATATTTTTCTTAACATGACACTATTATGCAAGTTAGGTAGTTTCTCACGATAATGCAAATAAATACTTTATCCTACTAGAGGAATATTACTTTATAGCTTGGGGTATCCAAGTCCTACATAACAACCAATACAACAAGTGTGTTGACAGCACGAAGATATAATTAAAAACTATTTCAAAGCAAATTATAAGATACCCCCACCACAGCAAACCTGCAGACTAAGATCTCCATTTCCCTGATTGGATTTACACTCAAATGTCTCCTTAAAAATATCACATTTATTCATTTAAATATCATTAGTTTAACGAGTACTTAGGTTTGCTGCAACAGGGAGGGTAAGAATTTTAATAGTTTAGTATAAAATTAATGCATTTTCCAAATTTGACTAAAATATGCTCATAAACAAGCAAACTACAACTGTTTACAATTTTCCCCATGAAGAACATGGGAATTAAAAATTACACTTTTTTAATTTTCTCCTTAACCATAAGGTATAAAACCATGCTTAAATATACTAAATTATTTCTTTTTGTAAGCTCTACAAAATGGTTGGGAAGGAAATTCCAAAATGCGATGTTTATTGGATCAAAAATGGGGAAAACTAGTTTTACCCCATAAAACCCCCCATAAACCCCTGTTCCCATAGTCCGATCATGCGAGTTCGCGAACTCAGAACGTAGATTTACACGTTTGTACTAAATTTTATCAAAATTGGATGATTTTTGCTCGAGTTATCGCGCTAACGGACACACATATAAATATATATATGAATTTGAATGGATGTTGTTTTTGGCCTCTAGGGACCTCAGAACGAAAAATTAAATCGGTACCGGGTCTGGGTCTTACCATGAGTACTACGGTAATAGCTTATTTCCTGTATGGGAAATTCGCTAAAAGAATGTTCATAATAGCCTATTTAGATAAAAAAAATGAGGATTTGAGAATACCTAGTTATTTAAAACTGCAGAATCATGTACTTGTTTAAACCCCAATAAAATAAGATACATATTATTTGTTATAATCTTATTTAGCTAAGAAAATCATATATGTAAACTACTTTACCTATTTTATCAGCGGCAAATGTAAACTATTTAAGACTTTCTTGATTTCAGTATTATTTGGTCAGTGGTCATAATCCCAAATGTTTCCTTTGTATTGTGTAAGGTAACGCAAAATTTTAAAACATGATTTATTTTAAAATTATACAGGCACTGTCGAAAATTTAAATTGGTTTCGTCTAAACCTTCCAAACATTTGACAAAACAACCTTTGTATTTTTGGCTATAATATGTTCAGCCAATTTTGAGCTAATGTGTTAGAAAATTTGCATTGAAGTCGATCCCAAATAGCTTTGCTTCACTCCTCTCAATAGTAGCCCGCAGCGAATGTGTTGATAATTTCTTAGGTTACGCCTAGGTAATTTTATGTCGTACTAGCCATCGACCCTTCGCAACAGGAAGAGAAAACTTAGGAAAATGTGTAGATACACTTTTAGTAATCCACTAAAAGTATTTACTTTAAATATTAACTGGCTACTTTTGTTTCCCAGACATTATTTTTTGGGAAATAAACCATACAAATACAATTGGTTTTTATTAACATTTTGGAAAAAAGAAAGTCAGTAAGTTAATGAATTACGCACTTAATAAATAAAACTCCTTATTCACACAATATCAAAAATTATTTATTAAATTAAAAACATAAACATAACTGTAAACAATCCTACTTCGACAGTTTAATTTTTTATCACAGCTGCTGGGTTGAAATCTATATATTAATTTGAAACTGTTTTTCTTTGTCATAGCTAAATTAAAAGAACGGCTGGGCGTAGAAACTCGGTAGAGGTGTCTAAAGAAAGGGCTTGGTCTGTAGATGAGCCATCAAAAGAGAAACGTGGTAAATTCCCTTGGGGCTCTGCCCCAGTGGCCTTTGAATTCCCATCCCATGTTATTCTTATGGAGGAAAAACTGGGTTTTTGTCCCAGCTAATTTCAGGGAACGGTTGGGCGTAAAAACTTGGTAGGGATCTCTAAAGAAAGGTCTTGGTCTATAGATGAGCCATCAAAAGAGGAACGAGGTAAATTCCCTTCTGCTCCAGAAGCCTTTACAGTTGCCTCTTCAAATTTGTTTACCATCTATCTATATATTAATAGGCAAGCATGTTTCTTTAAAACCTTTTTTCTCAGCTCGTGTGCATCGCAGGGAAAATCTACGCATACTGTTGGAAAGATATTTTCCTGTAGATGTGCAGAATCCCTTTATAAATTAAAATAGGCTCAAAAATAAGCACAAAAAATGAATTTGAAAACTTAAAAAAAATAACATGGGAGTTATGGGTTGCCATGTTGGTGACGAAATAACAACAAAATATAAACAGAAAATCAAAACAAATTCCTATCACATGTTTTATTTACAGTGTGGGGTTTACACTGTACATTACATAGTGTAAGAAACGGCCATGTGGCCCTAACTTTGTCTGAAAAAATATATAATTTTTCATTTCATATAATTTTAATTTTTTCATTTAATTTCATTTAAATATTTTTGGTCGAGTTTTCGACCAATGGACGACCTCTAGTATGCATAATTCTACACTACTTTTTAATGAAACAGCTGTTAATATTTAAATTGTGATTTATTAAATTTTCAAAATGAAGTACAGTACTTGCAATGGGTTTTTCTGATTTTAAAATCAATTTTATTCTGCATCGTGTCATGTTTTGCAATATAATGTTCTATTGCCAAATCAGTGGAAAATCCTAATATCACAGTAACTCTTAAAATTCTTCTTATGGAGTTAACTTATATCTATTGTGTAGCTTGGTTTCTGCCTTTTTTTACCACTTCTTGGAGATTGTACGTAGGTGATATTCTTTGGCGTATTGCATTGCATCTGTAGACGAAACTTGGGTTGGTGAAATTATTACAATGGAAAAACGCGAGAAATCCTAGACAATTTGATATAGGCTAAAAATAAAACTGAATTAACAATATGCTACATTTCTTGAGCAATCATTGAAATAACCGATTTGCAAACAATGGAAACATAGAAAAAGTCATAGAACACAACCAAGTAGAAGAAAATAAATCATGTTTTTTTTTCATTTATAGTCGTTATTATAGACAACCTAATGCGGCTATGAGAGGGAAAAATTTGTAGAAACACTAAAAAACAAGATCTGTGTGTAGATCGTGAGTATTTCCATAATCTTCGTGAGTCGCCTGTAATGCTTCGCAATTGCTCGAATTCGAGCAACAGGTACACTAGTTATTAATTGTTTTCATAAATTTAGACAACTAATAGTGCTGCACCCTGTTGGTACATCTTGTAACCTTTTAATGCTATTGATCATCACAGAATCAAATCGTTTAGTTGAAATGAGTGTTAAGATTCTTTAATTCCATTTAAATATGAGTACTCATAAAGTTAAATTGGGAAACTCCAGAGCATCTGGGGCGGAGCGCTTTTGATGGATCTGCACCAATGCTTAATAATGCCTGAAAGTTTCATTACAATCTGTCGAGCTGTTTCGGAGTCCATAATGTTCAAATATATATATATACAAACTTCCTCTTTTATAAATATAGATAAGTAGGAACTCAATAACTCTAAAAATTTGTAGGTTCAGTGATGTAGTCTTCAAAATAAATATTAGGAAAATGGAATAGTAGCAACTTATAGGTTTTATTCTATAAACAATCTTGTTGTTAATGTTATACTGTATTAATAAAGTAATCGTTTTTAGAGAATGTACGTGGTATACAAGCTGACGTCTCAACTTTATGAACAGTCTTCTATTATAGCTGAAGGGTTTGTGAATGAAGATGCTAGATGGTAAGATCAACTTTTCTTACTTTTCAGTATATTTATACATAAGTTATATTCATCGAATAATCAGTACTTAATTACTTGATCACTTTGCCCACAGGTAAAATATCATTATGGATGGACTTGATTGTCTGAGCAGCTGAGTAGTTACAGTACTTGCTTTCAAATCTGAATGTTACTTGTTTTATCCTTAGCGAGGTCAATGCTGGACCCAGGTGGCAATTTGGCACTTGGATGCTAACTATTGATGCATACTACAAGTAGGTTTGGAAAGGTGGATTGTTACAAGATCAAGGTTTACATTTTCCCTTAAAAAAAAAACACAAAAAATACTAATGGTGTAAAACGCAATGAATCGGAAGTTATATTTAGTCATTACGGTAGGTTTTTTGGGCAGTATGTCTAGTTTTCCCAACAAGATTCACCATTCATCACATTATGACAATATGTGATTTTTTGTCCAATATATATAATTTGATATATTGTCTCTGTCTGGACTTCTAGCTGACATTTACATGAATAATTTAGAGAAAACCAAAGTTTTAATTGAAGGCAACCCTTACAAATCCAAAATTATATACTGGCACCGATATGTTGACGATATCCTTTGCCTTTTTGAAGGAACACAAACAGAAGCAAACAATTTACACGAACACATAAATTCAATCTCGACACAAATTAAATTCTCAAAAGAAATACAACATTCACACATTAACTTTCTAGATATAACCATTTCAAAAGAAAAACACATTCATAGATTTAAAATTTACCGAAAACCAACTACAACAAACAGTATCATACCTTCACATTCTAATCATCCATGGCAACATAAATTGGCAACATTTCATTCGTTAACACACAGACTTGTAAATATTCCTATGTCCACTGAAAACTTTAACAAAGAAAAAAATACTATTATATATTTGGCAGTGAAAAATGGATACAATCCATCTATAATTGAAAACATGATTAAGAAGAAATTTAAGAGAAAACTTCAAACACAAGGAACTACTTCAGGAACAGAAAACAAAAAGAGGAAAGAATTTATTTGTATACCGTACAATACCAAAATTAATAAAGCCCTAAGAAAAACTTTCAACCGTTCAAATGTAATAATCAGTTATAAAACAAAAAATAATGCTTTTCAAATGATCAATAACAAAATTTCAAAAGAAAATATAGCTAACCAAAATCAAGACAATATGAGAAAATCAGGTATTTATGAAATCAAATGTTCTAATTGTGATAAATCCTACATTGGGCAAACAAGTCGAACTTTTGAAAAACGGTTCAAATCAATCAATTATCAATTATCAATTATCAATTATTTAAGATGGGGACGCCACTATGTGCGTATTTTAACCCAAATATGAGTGAAGGATGAGTGTAGGATGAGTGGCGCGATCTTGTAGTCTTGTTAGTGACTAAGGCCGACATGTTCCTTAGACACAGCTGTTAATTAATAGCCCATACAGCTAATGGCAACTAAGGGACCTACAGTTTATAGTGGAATCCGAACCACATTTTTCCTTGTAATTTACGAATTGGTCTAATTATCAGGATAGTACTGCGGATAGTCGTAGTACTCACTAGTGCGGACGTTAATCCACACCAGTGAGCATCGCATCCACAGTGCATCCCTATAAATATCCACAATTCGTGACCTCCTAGTAGCTGGATTACAGGACGACGCCACCCGTCCCAGTCTACAAAGAACATATTCAAGCATTAAGATCAGGAAACCGCACAACAATGAAATCTAATTTTGCAGAACATTTAATACAAACAGACCATGAATACAAAAGCATCCACGAAAATTTAAAAATCCTTGAATATGAAAAAGACAAATCAAAATTACATGTTAAAGAAGATTTTTACATTTACAAAAACTATAAACAACACCCAGAAACTTTACTAAACACAATGAACATCAACAAATGCAATCCAATATTTGAAAAAATCCTGCAGTTAAATTAAGAGAGAAAATTATTATATATAGTATAAAGACCATTTAATACAGAAGAAATCTAAAGTTATCAAAACCTATGAAATCATATGATTGTATTTATTATTTAGATAAAATGTTTATTGTATTTGTTAAGATATAAAAACAACATGACTATAGCATAATCGTCGAAACTAGTTGTTGTTAAATAAAATGAATTAAAAAAGGGTACTTAGTTTTTAATAATGTTTTTATATATCAAAATAGTAGCCCGAATCACTACAGTTTTCTTAATATATATATATATATATATATATATATATATTTATATTAAACTGTATTTGTTTTAAGAGGTTGGTGGCCTCTTTTAATCTTGCATTTGCCCGTCCACATAAACTACATGTCTTTACGTGAAGAAAATGCTAGAAGTGTTATCCACATTACAGTGTTGGTTCATTATAAGATGGATCTGTCAAATATAGAATAATTTAATAAATTCATTGCTTTTTAGACAAACCTGCATATAACGAGTTTTAATTCAACCAAAATATCTTGTAATTCCTCTTCATATGATGTAGGCATAAGTTAGTTAACATTCTTAATTTAACATGTTTCATGTAAATTGTTTGACAAACTAAATTCATGAGTCTGCCAGCATGGATATTTCTTGCAAACTATGTCCAAATTGGGTACTTGATTAATATCATTGCAGAGCCTATTTTAAATATGTTTTGCATTTTGACAATGTAGGCATGTTGTTTGAGTTTATACTTTTTATTTATGTTCGTGGTTCATTGTTGTTTCGATGCAGAATAGTTGCAGATTTTAAAGATTTGTTCACGAGAAGCCTAATTTACAATTCAATTCAATAAGTTGGTCTGAATCAAAATCATTAGACAAATTAACCTCCAGGCATTCCAGGTTTGAAGTGAACTTCTTGGTTGGAAGTAAAGATGACGATGATTGGCATTACTTTGATCGCGTTTCGCATGAGAAGCCTGACAACGCATTCCAATTTCGACCATTGTTTACTAGTAAGATCTACACATACCGTAACTATTGGACGGCTTACAAAGGTTGGGGTTATTCTGAGGGTTCAGAATCTGAACAGTTTCCGTTCCGTCGAGGACAGCCGTTCTACATAGAATTCTACATCACCAAAGCCGAGTTTAAGGTTAGTTTCAGAAGAGTCAAAAGTACCAAGCATTCTTAACAATAAATACCTTTGACAATAACACAGTTTTATTGATAATATGTATTGCTTTTATTGCTCTAAAATATAAAATGTTATTTCCAAAATATATATTTAGCAAAGAAGGAAGGAAGGGTTTTGTGGTATGTTATACTAAATTAAATATTATACAAGAATGGGTTGTCCAAGCAACGTACTTCCTCCTCTTAATAAAGGCTTCTTGTTTGTTTAGTTACTCAACTTACTATACATACAAGACTATACTTCCTATAGGTACACTTTCTATGGGTTCAAAACTCTTACCACTAATCTTTTGTTGTTTGAATGCTTATATAACATGTAGATTGTAGAAGGTAGCGAAATGTAATAGTTCCCACTTTATACTTAGATTCTCTAAAGCATAGCAAAATTTAATATTTTCCATGTAATTATTAGAGTCTCTAAAGTATTTATAATGTTGTAGCCTTGTTTATAGGCTGGGGAGCTGAGTGGTTAACAGTCAGTCCTGAGAAAGGGCATATCATTTAGACTTTATAAACTGAACTCAGCTGTTCTTGGTTTGTTGGGCCTTTTAAAACTAATCCTCCCCTGGTGTGTTTCTGTCAGGTGGCTGTGGATGGTCAGCACTACGTCACCTACACACACAGATTATCTTTAAAGGATATTAACAGGATCCAGTTTCTCGGACATATAACTCTGACCAACGTTCACTTCCAGAACACCCCCAAGTACCCTTCCCCTCTGTCAAAGGTGGGTGAGTTAGCCGTTTGTAGATAATTGATCACATTTAAGTGAAAAAGCCAGCAACTAAAACGTGCCATTATAATAAAATGCATAAGTTAAATGTTGAAAAGTCCCATTGAGTCAATATCATTCATTCTAAAGGGCCAAACTAAAATAAAAATCTAGAATTACATTATTTTCCCGAAAACTACATTGTTTGCGAGGTATTTTATTTTCGCTTCTTTTTGTCACGAAAACTATTCAAGGAAGCATGCCTTTATGAAATTTATAATACATTTTTATTAAGGCTTAATATATTTTAGAAAGAAAAATCAATACAAAATCTGGGTTGTTTTCAATATGGCAGGTTTATAAATTGGTATAACTTAAATTTATAATAAAAATTGCTGCTTTTGTGCTTTTGTGCGAAATCTGTGTAGGTTCTAAAAAAGCGATTATTGAAAATTGGATTACATAAATGTCAAAAATTGGCTGCTTATGTGAAAAGGTACCAAAAACACTTTTATTTAGCATTTGAAATTTCCTGTAAAACGACACCCAGATAAGATTGAAAAATAAATATTTTAGAGACAGTTTCTGCCAAAAATAACAGAATGAATTTATTTTTTTACGGAAAGTAAATAAAGATACGTCTTATAACACTTAAAACATATATTTACGCTCATACTGTTACTCACAAGACGGTAAATATACAAAGGATGGTAAGTGGTGATCGATTTCGATTGGACACTCCAATCATCATCAGACCCAATAGGCCAATCTAAGTCTAAGCGTCTCTAGCGAATCTAAGTCTAAACGAATCTAATTTCGCCTATTGGGTCTGATGATGATTGGAGTGTCCAATCAAAATCGATCACCACTTACCATCTTTTGTATATTTACCGTCTTGTGAGTAAGAGTATAAGTGTAAATATATGTTTTAAGTCTTATAAGACGTATCTTTATTTACTTTCTGTAAATTTAATAACACGTACAATGCTGATCAATAAGTTATTTATTTTTTTGTTTGAAATAATACAGTGTATTTCAGTACTCTCTAACAATATTTTAAGGCATTGTTCCTTTGTAACGAAATTGGAACTTTGCACAAACATTTGCGACAACTAGTCAAATGTAAAAAAAGAGTTAGTACACTAACTTTTACATACTACTAACTTTTTACACTCACTTTTACTCAGTGTAAAAGTTTAGTGGAACTGACTACCTACATTGAAAAAAATATAATTTTCAAGCAACAAAAATTGAGCTGATTAGTTTGTCAACAAGTATGTTGACTTTTACAGCTGATACAAAAGGTTTGGGTATTTTTGTAAGTATTTGAGACATTTAAAATGTGTGATATTTTTAAACCCTAATAATGATATATAATTGGCAAAAAGTACTTCTAGGGTTAAGCAATATATTATTATTGTTTATGGTTAGTAATAGTAGCAGCAAGTTTAAATGGAAAGTTTTAAGGAAAAGCAGTTGTCTTGCCACGTACTCCAGTGATCCCTACAGAATTCAAACGAATAGGTACGGTTCATTGTGCGTTTCACATATAATATGTGCAATTGCAATAAAAAATTTTAAGGGCAATCACCGCAGGTGTGTGAATTAAACTTAACAAATCCATGTTTCTCACATGGACAACTTTATGTGACCTGCTCTCACGTTGGAAAACCAAACATTCAACAGAATCGGTTAATTAATGCACCAAACGAAAAAAGAAAAAAATATTGTTCTCAAAAAAGCACTTGATTAAAGGTTTTGAAGCAAAATGACGTTTAACTAATTAATTAGATATAAATAATAACTATGTATAAAAAAAACAAAAAATGGAATTCTCTAAAAATGTAAGGATCCTCCAGAGGTTCAAAATAGAACTGTTAACTTCATTGAAATCGCACCAACGCTCGACGGGTGAACTATTTAGAAATAAATTAGTAATAAAAATAAAAACACGGTAGCTGTGTGTCTAAGGACTTCCGGACAGTTTAAATATGATATTTAGATATGTTTCTTAGCTAGGAACAATGCCTTAAAAATATTGGTAGGGAGATCCCAAACATTCTGTATAACAACAAATTGTCTACTTTGAGCCATGACTAAGTTCAAAAAACGAGTGTCACGAATCATTTTTTGATTCAAATTGTTCAAGTTTTTGTAAATTACGTGTATTGGAATGTCGATGTTCTGACACTCCCAGCGGACAGATGTCTGAGCTATGTTTGGCAAGTTCTTCTTACTATTGCCTGTCAATGAGACGATTTATAGGATCTAAGGTTAGTTATGAGTAAACATCTTTGTGGCGTCAGAACATATACAGTTACAAAACACAATAAAAAACTTGAACAACTTGATACAGAATATGAGTCATGACCTTCGTTGGTGGAACGTAGTCACGGCTTAACGTTTAAGCAAAGAAAAAAGGTTCATTTTCGTCTATTTGAAAACAATTGATCCTAACATAGTTTTATTTCACCACCCAATATATCTGAATTTTAGATAAAACCTGTGGAAGGAGAGCAGACAGACACTGGAACTTCCATGTTGGAGATCGACCGCGAGTTTGAGGTAATATGTTGATCATATCCCACACTCATGGAGACATCCTCATCTTCTTCCACAATAACAGCAATAGTCTAATCTCCTTACAGTCGTGTAGATATCACCATCGTAAAGCGTGGTCATAAAAAATTGCTGAATTTCCCCCGCAATAACCGAAACATCATCATCGTATTTTGCCGCATTTTTGTATATTCGTAAATAATACATATTTCCTGTGGTCGTGTGGACATTATCGTTATTTCCATGATCTTCGCAACAATTCTGATCGTCTCCCTCGGTTGTATGGACATCACTAGATATCGTCCCCATCGGTCAATGAAAAATTCTTAATAACAGAAACATCATAGTTATCTTTGGCAATCACAGCTAAATTCTAACTATCCCCCCCCCCCCCGGTCGTGTTAACATAACTATCGTCTCCTGCGTTTACTTCATGAAAGTCATGAATATCTCCGCCGTAATGGAATAATCATCATCGTCTCTTGCGATCACGGCAAAAATCTGATTGTCTCCCGTGGTTGTGTAGACATCTTTATCGTTTCCCACAATCACAGCAACATTTTAATTAGGTATCGCCCACGGTTGGGTAAATATCATAATAGTCTCTAGTGGCCACGGTGATATCCTAGATAATCCCGCAGTAACTAAAACATCATCATTGTCTTCTGCGATCGTGGCAAAACTCTGATCGCTTCCCTCGGTCACTGGAAAATCCTTGTGTAGCGTGCCTATTTTGTGGGGTGATGGTTACAACCCCATTTATTCTGAGTTATTTATTATTATTTATTATTATTTATTATTATCATTTATTAGAGTTATTTATTCTGTATAAGCGTGAAATAAACCTTATAGGCACAGAGTTAGCTCATTAACTCATAAGCAATGTGTTAATAGCTGTTGTGTCAACGCAAAGCAACCAACTCGGCTTAGTACTTTGGCAACACTTTCCACACGTGGTAAACCCGCAAATCGCAGCCTTGGGCCGATAATCAATCTCAAAGGAAATGCGGTTTGAGTAATATAAAAAGAAAAAGAAAAATCATTGCCACGTGATCCAATTAATTACAACATAACCTCCAGTCTACACCACATCAACAAGCTCTAGCGTCTGACGATTTGTCGGCTGCAGACAACGGCAGCTGGCTTGATTGCAGCGCTTTAAGGTCGATTCACACGAATTAGTTACGGCACGTCACAGTCCATTCTCTTCAAGCAAGTCGCATTTATAAACATTATTCTTTAATGGATTGTCTATTGCGCTATCAACATTTATCCGTTGCAGTTCCGTCAGTCGCTCTGTCGGCGTCCATCAGTAAATTTCATATTTCTTTTCACCGATATTTTTGGATTGTCTTTTTGTATTTTTGGCCTGACGGACGTGTTTGAGGTTGGAAAATAGTGGTTTTCAGTGGCGGCGATAAGAGCTCGCGCCCCCCCCCCTCAAGTTTGTTCACTGGGCCCCCTCCCAATAATCTTAAAAATATTATATCACATGTATTACCGCCTAAACTTGCACTTTAGCTTGGTACGGCGTCTCCCGAGGCGTCATCATCGTCTTCCACGATCGCGGCAAAATGACCTATGACATCATCAGATAACAACATTATCGTCTCCCGCGTTCACGGCCCAATCCCTAATATCTCTCGCCCCGCGACCCGTAGTGACGGGGAAATAATTTTTTCCGCAATCGCGGCAAAATCCTAAATATATCTCGCTCGCAGAAAAACGTCAATAACGTCTTCCACAATTCGGCAAAATATTGAACGTCTCCTGTGGCCATGGAGACGGGGTAGCGGATTTTTATCCCCTGGAATTTTACCCCCTGGGCAAACGTGACGTCACAAACCAGGGGGTAAAATTCCGGCCGCGAACTTTTGAGTTTCGTGACATCAGCTCGATGGATTAAACGCGGAATTAAACATATATTTTCACGGTTGTGATTTTAATCAGAACACATCAAATTATAAAAACCTAGAATGTACGGCCCGGATTTTTACCCCCGGAATTATACCCCCCGGATTTTTACCCCCGGAATTTTACCCCCTGGCCAGATGTAAATTAGTGAGTATGATTAATTATCGTCATTCAGTTTTAATTTAATGGTAAACATTTTATTATTAAGTAGCTTATCTTAATTTATATGTAACATTAACTAATCGAACAGGGTTTTAATATTAATTTTGAGATTCGAGTGTCAGGATTCGATCTTTGAAGCCAACTGTTGGTTAATATGATCTAAATAAAACAACGAATTCTGTTTACTTAGTTGAGATTACAAAATAAATAAATAAAGATAGGCTACTAAATAATGAAATGTTTACAATTAATTAAAAACAGAAATAAGAAAATCAATCATTCAATTTCTAAAATCAGCCAGGGGTAAAATTCCGGGGGGTAAAATTCCGGGGGTAAAAATCCGGCCCGTACATCTTCAGTTGCCTAAACGCTAGTTATATGGACAGGGGGTAAAATTCCGGTTTTATCGCTAATCTAATTAATCACGCTCTGACTATTTTCATTAGACTTCCAAATCCGCGGGGGTAAAATTCCGGCCGCGAACAAACTTTTGGCCACCCAGGTTACTACGTCATAGTGACGTCAGCTTTGCCCAGGGGGTAAAATTCCAGGGGGGTAAAATTCCGGCGACCCACGGAGACATCGTCATCGTCACCCGCGGGGAAATGTTCTCGTCGATATCCGCGATCGCGGGAAAAACGTAGGCCTAATCTTTCAATTTCGTGAGCGTGATCCTTGCGGACATAAAAGTTTTAATTTTAATCGGACATGATTGTACTGAGAAAATCGGCTTGAGCTTGATTTTCTGACTTTGTGCTTGATCTCTCAAGCTTATATACAGGCTCTGCTCGAGTGCTCGGCTCGAAAATCGACATTATATAAAAAATCAACAGTTTCGAAAGCAAACCGATTTTGAACCGCTCTGATTTGGCCCGAGGCCTATAAGTAAGTACAATTTTTTACCTGACTCGAAGTAAACAAATCTAAAGTGCAGCCTCCTAATAGTAAGAAATGAAGTGAAATGAAAATCCTTCTTTGGCGTCAATGAAAGAATGGAATTATTTATTAGCTAGTGCATCAGGCACCTAGGTTAATTCGCCGATTTGATCGTAAAAATTGTCAAGTTCATTAAGTTAAAACAGCATTGAGGGCCCTCTCTGGTGTGCCCCACCGGGGCCTAGGAGGATTAACATTAATGTTTAATCCTCCTAGGCCGGGGACACATTGGTTCAAAATACGGCCCTATTATAAATAGCGCCTTCACGCAGTCCATGAGGACTGTTGATGCAACCTGCATGACTGATGAAAATTCTTTTACTTAAGTTGGTAGAGAGTTTATATCGATCGGCCAAATAATAGTGTCAGTTAAGCTGTTGTAAACTACTTGTCCTAATGCTCTTACTGGGTTTAACAAATTTTCGGCATAAAAAAAACTTATGGTCATTTCATATAAATATTGTTATGATAGGGGCCCGTGTGGCTGAGCCTGTCACACAATTACGGGCCCGTGTCCCGGTAAAATATCCCGAAAAATCCCAGTCAGGGCTCACGGGCCCCCATAGCTCGTGGCCCCCCCGCACCACCGCCACCACTGGTGGTTTTGTTATTTAAATGATTGCCTTCATATTTTGAGTACTGTTTTTAACAATCAACAAGATGGGTGATGAAAATTTGATAGAATATAGGGTTTAGTTTTTTTCAAAAAACCTTTACATCACTGTAGCCTAAATATTAGAGACTGAAGACTAAATGAAACAAACTGACGGTAAGTTACCTAAGGAATTGCTGATGCAACTGAGACTAAAGTGTGAATGGACTGTTACGGAACTATGAATGGACTGATATGTGTGAATCGACCTTTAACTAGAATTTTTGGGTCAGCAAAAGTAAACGGCAAGTATCAGCTAAGCCTTCAACTTGGGAAGAGAGGGGAGTGAGAGGGATTAGGTTCGCCACACACTGCGTCCTGTCCGGTAAAATTGGATCAGCATGCCGGATCAGGTAAATTTGAAAACCATTAATTCAAATGGGAGTGTCCACACTGCATCAGGTCCGGTGCGTCAGGTGCTCTCCGGTAAAATTATTTCGGTCGAGATGCGATAGGCGAAGGCCGAAGGCAAGCTTCCGGCGCCGGAGACCTCGCGCATGCGCAGACGACTTCTACTCACCACTTAGCAGCAGACGTGTTTTTTTGGTGATTGTTTACTTATTGTTTACGCTGTACGTTTTGTTACAAAATGTCATTAGAAGAGAAATTGATCATGCAAGTGCAGGAGTACCCTGTGCTATACGACCTGGGCCACAAGGGCTACTACAACTTAGTTAGTACAGAAAATATTTGGGAATAAATGAGTGATCAATTTGATACTACCAGCCCGACTATGATCTCTTCTTCAATGTCTCTGTCATTTATTGTTTAAATTAAATTTTGTTACAACTAGTAGTTGATTAAACACTTTTTCAACTGACATAGAAACTGGAACGCCTGATGCAGTGTGTGGGAATTTGCTGGATCTGGAGAAAAACACCTGATCAGAATTAACCGGACCGAAGTTAGTGTGTGACGAGCCTTTTCACCAAATTCTGGGGGGGGGGGGCAACACTTGGTTGATCGTACAGAACCAAACAGAAAAAGTAAATGAATAACAAAACTACTAATTTATGTAAACTCTAAATGTGCTACTGAGACACTAACAAATAATAATACTTTTGTTTCATATTATTGTAGAAGAATGATAGATTGTTTTCTGCCGTGCTTTTTAGGATTCGACAGGAGAAAATATTTGTATATACGAGTAAGCTAGTACAGCATATTTTTTACCCTAGCTTAGGAACCAGGGAGGGCAAATGCCCCCCCTGCCCCCCCAAACGACGCCCCTGCTTTTTCATGTGTTCTAATGTACACGTACAGTTGGTCTCGACGAGGCCTTCTACACCACATTTTCAATATATAGAACGCATACTGTGGCCAGAGGTTTGTAATTTTTAGGCAATTAACTTTTATCAGAGTGTCATCATTGATCAATTTACGTTTGATGGTGTCCAAACATGGGACTGTAGGTACATTGGAGAATAGATTACTTACATCAAAGCTGACCATTATCGACCGGCGAAACTACAAACTAAAGTCTAGCATTTATTATTATTTTTTTACATTAAATGTGTGTTAGTGTGTGGTGACAAGGACTGAGTTCTCCTGTTTCTAAAAAGTGAGTGACGCCTAACTATCATCCATCTTAATTGATATTTATCTATCATCTATTGAAATATAAAATCTTGTTGTTATTGTTATACTGTATTAATGAAGTAATCGTTTTTAGACAATACATAGGATTTACAAGCTGACGTCTCAACCTTATGTCCAGTCTTCTCTTATAGTTAAAGGGTCGTTGGATGATAATTCTACATGGTAAGATTAACTTTTCTTACTTTTCCGTATATTTATACACAAGTTATATTTTCAAATAATCAGTAGTTAATTACTTGAACACTTTGCCCAAGTTTTGAATTACTTGATAACTTTGCCCACAGGTGAAATATAATTATGGATGCACTTGATTGTCTGAGTAGCTAAGTAGTTACAATACTTGCCTTCAAATCTGAATGTGGCTTGTTTTATCCTGAGTTAAATTCTGGACTTAGGTGCCTTTATGTCACTTTGCTGCTTACTATTGATGCAAAAAATATTATATCCACATTCCAGTGTTGGTTTATTATAAAATAATTTATAATGCCCAACAAATATAGCAAGTTTAAACAAATTCTTTGGTCTTTAGACAAACCTTCATAAAAAAATTAAGATATTTTACAATTCCTCTGTTGTTGAGGAGGCATAATTTAGTCATTATGAATTTAACATGTTTTATGTCAATTGTTTGACAAACTAAATTGATAAGTCTATTACTATAGTATAGATTTTTCTTGTGAATATATGGCAAAGTTGAGTATGTATTCATCCATTGTTCATCCATGTATTCATCATTCATTGAGTATTCATCAAATTCTTTTTCGCTAAAAAAATGTAGGCATGTTATTGGAGTTTATACTTTTAATTTATGTTCGTGGCGTTGTTGTTATGCAAAATAATTGAATATTTCAAGCCTTAATCAAGAGGATCCTAATTGATAAATCACTAAGTTTGTTCTAAATAAAAGGCACTAGACGAACTAACCTCCAGCCATTCCAGGTTTGAAGTGAATTTCTTGACTGGAAATAAAGAAGACTACGATTCGCCTGACATTGTATTCCAATTTAATCCAATTATTGGTAAAAAGCATATCTACACATACCGTAATACCTGCATGAATGGCAAGTGGGGCGATGTAGAGGGATCAGTTGCTGAATGGTTTCCTTTTCGTCGAGGACAGCCGTTTTACCTCGAGTTCTACATCACCAAAGCCGAATTTATGGTTAGTTTTGGATGAGTCAAAAGTAGTAATCATTCCTGAAAATAAAAAAATGAGAAAATTTCACAGTTTAATGATAATATGTTTTACTGCTCTAAATTTAAAAATGGTAATTATAAAATATGTACTGTATTTAGCAAAGTCGAATGGGTCATAGAATGGGTTGTCCAAGCAACATACTTGCTCTCTTTATACAGGCTTATTGTTTGTTTGCTTACTCAACTTACTATACATACAAGACTATACTACCTATAGGTACACTTTCTCTGGGTTCAAAACTGTCAAAAATTATGCACTTATCTTTTGTTGTTTGAATGCTTATAAAACATGTAGAAGTTAGCGAAATTTATTAGTTTCCACATAATTCTTATAGGCTCTAAAGTATTTACAATGCCGTAGCCTTGTTTATTGGCTGGGTAGCTGAGTAGTTAACAGTCAATCCTGTTCCAATCCTGGGAAAAGGCATATAATTATTTAGACGTTCGATACTGAACCCAGATTTCTTTTGATTGTTGCGCCTTTTAACACTAATCTTCCCCTGGTGTGCTTCTGTCAGGTGGCTGTGGATGGTCGGCACTACGTCTCCTACAAACACAGAGTACCTTTCAGGGGTGTCACCAGGATCCAGTTTCGCGGACATATAACTCTGACCAACGTTCACTTCCAGAACACCCCTAAGTACCCTTCCCCTCTGCCAAAGGTGGGTGAATTTATTGTTTGTAGATAATTGATCACATTTAAGTGTAAGAGCCAGCAGCTTAAGAGTGTCACTTTCATAAAAAGCACAAGTTACATGTTGAAAAATCCTATTTGAGTCAATGTTTTTCTTTATGGGTAAAAAAAATCTAAAATAACATTGTTTTCCTACAGTTACCTAACAATGTACATGTTCTCTCACTGATTTGAGAAAGCAAAGTGGCCAATTCGCTCATCAGTGAGACAATGTTAACATTGTCTCACTCTAATTACTTTGTCTCACTCCAGATTTGCATCGTGAAGGCACGAAATAGTGAGCGCGTAACATGCAGTCAACGTCGTATGCGCGCGAAATACGTTGGCAGCACTGGCTGTAAATCAGCTGGTCAGCTGTTGTACTGTTGTATTTGTCACTTCGCATTAAATGTTATGTTAAAAGTTCACTTCTGTGTAAAAATAGGTTATGTTTCTTCACAAATTTATTTGTTTTATGGTAACTGTAGGAAAAGTATAATGTGCAACTCGAGTTCAAAGTACAATTGCCTCACTCGAGAAACCATTCCTCACTCGCCTACGGCTCGTGAGTAAGGATTTCTCTCGAGTGAGTCAATTGCTCACTTTTCTCACTAGTTGCACAAATAACTATTTTTTTGTAAATACCTTGTTTGCGAGATACCTTCTTTGTTTTTCATGAAAACTATTCAAGGTAACATAATTTATGAAACTTGGTATACAGTTTTTTTAAAAGCATGGTATATTTTAAAAATAACGATCAATAAAAAATCTGTTTGTTTTAAAAATGACAGGTACTTAAATTTGTATAACTTAAATAAAAAAAAAAATCAGCTTTTGTGAAAAGGTGCCAAATCTGTGATGGTTCTAAAATGGCAATTATTTTAATCTGGATTACTTAAATCGCAAAAAAATGGCTGCTTTAATGAAAAGGTGCCAAACACTTTTATTTATCATTGAACTGACTGATTACCATTACCATTGACTGATTATCATTGATCTGACTGTTTATTGTAAAGCGACACCAAGTTCAATAAGATCGAATATTGAATACCTTAGATACCAAAGATTTCAGGCACAAAAAGATAGAATTTATTTTCCTGTTTATAATACACATAACAAATTGTCTACTTTGAGCCGTGCCCACGTTCCGCCAACTAGTGTCATGAGTCATTTATTTTTCAAATTGTTCATGTTTTATATAGTACGTGTTGGAAATTTCGATATTCTAACACCCCCAGTGGGTAGTATAGAAGTGGTATAGAAGGTAGTATAGTATAGAAGTGGGTAGTATAGCGAATATTTCTGTAAGATTTCTGAAAGATTTTCTGATATCTGATTTCTGATATACAGTTGTCCACTATGCACGGCGAGTTCTTTTTATACCTGATTGTCAACGAGATGATTTGGAGGCCTAGGCTCTATGGCTGGCAATGAGTAATGCATATGTTTTCATTGCATTTTTTCATTTTTTAAATTGTGTTTCATGCACTGTTGGGTTTCAGTGCCAACGTCGTACTTATATACCAATGTGTGTTCAGGACCATGACCTTCCTTGAGTTTTATTAGACCTACTCAGTGGTAGAACGTGTCATAGATCATGGCATTTTAGATCTCATGTGTGGTCATCTCATCTAAATTATCTTTAGAGCTGACCATGGCAAAGGCGGAATTGAATCGACAAATTTTATCCAAATAATTATAGTAATTAAGTCTCATAGCCCTTTTTCAGTTTGGGAGTTTCCAATAAGTTTCTGAAAGTATCGTGAATTCCACAAATGAGGTAAACGAACCTTTAATTTATGGCAACAGAGAGTAAAAATTGAACTGTCTCGGACAGTCGTTTCTTGCTTAAAATGTAAGCCACCACAATGGAAACATTTAATGTTTATTTGTCCGAGATTGTGCGGTACTTCCACTCTGTATTCGTCAAATGATCAATTGGGTGGTTGATGCAAGCGGTCACATTTACGTTCCTTCCAGCTACTCACAGTTCTTCGTCTTATTGGTGGCATTTAATTTTAAATTTAGATAAAATACGAAAGTTAACCAAACAACAGACACTGTGTGGCGTCATTACTGTCACCAGTACCCAGTGCATTGCTCATCATGAACGTTGTTGGGGCCGTCTTTAAATGCTCTTACCCAATTGTGTACCATTACATCACTCATTATGTTCTCGCCATACACTTCACTAATCTTTCGAAGAATTACAATGGCTTTCACACCTCTAGCAGTTAAAAATATAATTACAGCACGCACTTCACAGTTGGTGGCAGTCTCAATTGGCGGCACCATTTTGAATGCTCAAAACCGGATGTAAATAGGCCAATTTTCGCCAAATTTACGGTGCAGACTTGCCAATAGATGCACATACACATCGCACACGTTCAAAATGCGAATCGCAGCGCTGGAACGGAGAAATTAAAAAACGGAACTTACTTAAAACATGCCTCGTATTTTCAAAATCAAGGTTAAAAAGCTAATTCTTTATTTTTTTGACCCATGCAGGTGTAAATGTTAAGTGGGGACAATATAGTAAAGAGACGGCACTTGAGCGTTTTTTCCCATAAGAATAACATGGTGGGTTTTTTAGCCACTTAAAAAAAAATCCTTAAATAAACATTCTATACTATTGTCCAACTCCACAAACATTAGAATTACATACCCATTCTCAATTATATTTTCAAAATCACGCAAGATTTGTACGGGAACTAGGGTGCGCTCCCGGCCGCGGGCATGGACAATGGGCATGCTCGCGTTCCCGCTCCATGGTGGGGCTTCTCGTTTCTCGTCGCTAGTGGTGACGCGGTGAAATGCCACTCCCTTAGGCTTGCTTGTTGTCTCTTGATCAAGTGGGCAACCTCCCCAAATTCATTTAACAAACTTAATATCTTGTTGAAGTAATTTCTAATTTAGCAAATTACTGCTAAAATTTTTAATGTATGCATTTCTCATCTTCAACACCAAATACAAAAGCACCTATATTATTTTATCTTACAAATTTATCTATACCAGATATTTTTAAGGGATATTTTATATTTGTAATATTCAACTGACTTTCATACGGCACATTATTGGAGACCCTTTCAGCATTTTTTGAATTCCTTGGATGTAAAGCTACTAAAATTGACCAAAGGAAGCATTTATTATTAGCATTTTTATGTTTTAAACTGCAAGTTTTAATTGAATACTTTTTGGTGTGGGGATATATGACTTTGGAGTTAGGGGCTTACACTTGTAAATATGCAACAGCCAATATTTAGTATGGTCATATATCCATCCACTGCCTTGGGCTTGATATTTGTGTAATGATGCGTCAATCTTTAAAAGAGTATTATTAATTTGAGGTATTAAATCTCTTTTCTCAATGGTTAGGATGGGATATTTGAGGCTTCTAAAGTCTGCAATACATTGTTTTTTCATTTATTAATTTTCCAATTTGATCTATTGTATATTTTATAAATTTGATTCTCCTTACTAAAGTCCATTTTATCGGTAGAGGACAAGACTGAAGAGTATTTTTAAGTTCAGTTCCAATCGATTTACCAACAAATTTAATCATTGTATATGGACAATTGTTGTAAGAATCTATCTATATATTTAATACGCGACATGAAACTTTGTGAACAATAAGGATTTTTTTTGTTTTAAGATTTAACCCCACATACTCTATACTAAAATGTTCGTCTAGGTGTGTAGATGTGCAAACTGGCTTTAGATTTCCGAAATATATCTTTTTAAGGGCGTGGGCTGCCCTCAAAGTTCCTTCCATAAGAATAACATTGTGATTGATTTAAATGTTATTATATTCTGAAACAGATGTCAATACAATAGCTTAAAACAAATTAAATCCCAGCTGTTTTGTTTGGGTTTGTAATGTAAACAGTTTGCATGTTTTTCAAAATAATTAGAAACCCGGCAAAGAAATGTTACCTTTAGGACACGACGGGAGAAAATTTTTACATTATATTTTCGTTTATACATGCCAATGACCCGACAACGAAGAAATATTGCCGGTCGGACACGGCGAGTCAACATACGGCAAGCAATGCAAAACGTAAGGAGCCCAGACGAGGAGCTGGAACAGTTAGTGGCAACGTGTACTTACAAAATTACACTGACAAATACAAGAACTCAGCAGCATTCACTTGGCGAGATGGCATTAAAATATCAGAATTGTGGTGCACATTTTAAAGAAGAACAAAGAGGACGAGGCGAAGGATTTTCATCCTGCTGCCATAAAGGAAAAGTGAATCTATCTGCGCTCGCAATGGTCAGCACTCGAGCTAAAATTGAAGTACATAACGGTGAAGGGCCTTTCATGTATAAGGTGCACGACACAATTCATCACTGAATTGGCACCTTTACAACTGTCACAAGGGGTGCATCCCACAGGGCCGGGGATCCCACATATGCCCAAATTCATATCTACGACGTCGAAACCGCTGTTCAAGAAAGATTGCTAAACAAAGCTAATGGCTCTTGCAGCCATACTCATGCACATTTTGACTCAACATTTGGTTTATATTAATCCAGACGCGCAAGTTTTGAGCTCCGTCCTGCAAACTACTCTTACTGAACAGCAAAAAGAACTTAGAATGCATATAGCCAACGATCGAGCTCAAGACCGACGCCGATACGACGACGCAACTTCTAACGACGTTGCTATAATATCCTAATTTATTATTCGTACGAATTCGCACGGGTTCACCTAGTACTCATTAAAAGTCTTATTACTTTGTAGTATATGTGATTTTAAAGCCATTTTTTTCTATCACAGATCAAATCACAAACTTTGCACAGTTTCACCTTTATTTAATGTATTAACTTGTCGTGGCGAATCAGGTTGCTTTTGATGGTGAGCGACACGGAGTAGTGTTGACATGATAGCTTCATGTTTAGGAATGAGGTCTCGGGTCGATGTCTCCTCTATGTATAGTCTTTTTGAAAAAAAAAAAACTGAAAAAGAAATTAACATATTTAGAAATTACTTCAACAAGAGATGAAGATTGTAAAATGAATTTTTGGAGGTTGCCCACCCAGGACTAGATCAAGAGCTACCACTGGAGACAACTAAGGGAGTGGCATTTCACCGCGTCACCACTAGAGTCGAGAAGCGAGAAGCCCCACCATGGGTCGGAGCATGCCCATACCCGCGGCCGGGAGCGCACTCGAGTTCTCGCACAAATCTCGCATGATTTTGTAAATATACGTGGGAATGGATATGGATTGCTAATGTTTATGGAGTTGTACAATATTATAGAACATTTATATAGGGGTATATTGGCCGTGGGCAGAATTTTAAAAAATTGCCTAAAACCCCACCATGTTATTCTTATGGGAAAAAAGCCCCACGTACCGTATCTTTGCTTTACTGTCCCTACTTTACATTTACACCTGCATGGGTCAATAAATGAAAGAATTAGCTTTTTTAGCTTGATTTTGAAAATACGAGGCATGGTTTAAGTAAGTTCCGTTTTTTAATTTCTCCGTTCCAGCGCTGCGATTGGCATTTTGAACGTTTGCGATGTGTATGTGCATCTATTGGCAAGTCTACACCGTAAATTTGGTGAAAATTGGCCGTATTTACATCCGGTTTTGAGCATTCATTGGGGGATAAGTGAGGATTAGCAATATTTTTAGAGTTGGACAATTATATAGGGATATGAAGGCAATGATCGGGATTTTTCCGTCACAAAAAATAATACCTATGTTATTCTTATGGGGAAAAAAGCTTAAAGTGCCATATTTATATCCTTGCCATATTTCCCTCACTTAAAATTTGAACAATTTGAAACACAAAACAGCCATGACACTAGTTGGTGTAAGGTAAGCACGGCTCAACGTTTAGAATAAGAAAAATAGTTTATTTTCGTTTATTCTAAAACTATTAATCCAGCCCGAAATTTGATCCAATATATCTGAATTTTAGATCAAACCTGCGGAAGGAGGGCAGACAGTCGTTGGACATCCTAAGTTGAAGATCGACCGCGTGTTTGAGGTAATATGTTGATCATCTCCTACAGTCGTGAAGACATATTATTCATCTTCTTCCACAATCACTGTGAAATCGTGAATATCTTCCTCGGTCACGGTAACAGAATCCCTGTATTCCTCGGCCACGGCAAAATTCTGAATATCACTCAGTGGAAACGAAACCAATTCCTCCTGCATACGTGTGGACATCATCGTCTCCCACGTTCGTGGAAACGTTATCATCGTCTCCCACGTTCGTGGACACGTTATCATCGTCTTCCACGACCAATGCAATATCATAATAACCTTCCATGGTCGTGTAGATATCATCATCGTCCCCTTGTTCGCGGCAAAATTCTATATTCCCACGTTCACTTACGGAAACACCATCGTTGTCATCTGCAATCATAGTTGAATTCTGACTATTCCCGACGGTCATGTAGACACGAGAGAAATGTTAACGCATGAACCACCTACTGTGGAAATTTCTTGAGTGCAACAAAGGCAATTTCCAGTCGTTCCAATTACGCATTATGGTTTTCCTATAGTTATACTATAGGAGATCATATAGTTTTTATATAGTTTATATATTAATATATTTATTATATATTAGTATTATATAGTTATAATAGCATAGAAATAATTATTCTTTTAAAAACCAATCAACATTTTTATACGCAAATACTTGAGGGCGGCAAAAAGAGAGCGGGAAAAATAAGAAAATGTGGCAATTAGCAATTGTCTATAGGTACTATAATCAGTACAAGGAAGCTCACTTTGTCAAGTGACTGTCAGGTTCTTTAAACAAAAACACAATAAAAATATAAAAGAATAACACGAAATATGTGTTGAACAATTACCATATGTACTATACATTATTAACTACTACTGTCCAAAAGTTAGATTGAAGATGAATATGCATCCGCATAAGAAGGATTTGATGACGTCATTTCCGGTACTATAATTAGACCATGACTTTTGCCGGTCAGTGTACTGGTGCCGTTCTTTTTTTGTCACAAACCCCGCAGATACGTGTAAAATAATTCTTTGCAGATATGATGTCTTAAAAATTGAGAATGTATGAAAAATATATTTACACTTACCCCAAAACTGAAAACTACAGATACCGGTAGCAGCACTATACAAAAGTGCTAACAGGCCCTCAGTATTGTCAAATGAAGGTAAAATCAGGTGCAAAGTAACCGGGATACTCCATTAAAAATACCGCAAAAAAGGCATCAAGCACAGTTTTAAGGTTAGGTTCCTTCCAGAATGCCATATTACAGTCTTTTATATAATCATATTCCATATCAATAAACCTAATCCAAAACCACACACAACACTAGTTGTTCAAAATCACTAACACAGTAAGATACAAAAGTAACCGATCCGAAAACGAATTGCACTAAAATTAAGTACGAAACCAGCGCTATAACAATGTGCCTCGCCGAATACTCACGCCGAGGCAATAAGGTATCGGAGCGAAGTACTACATATTATAGTGCTTAGGTACTAAAATAATTATTGTAGTAGCCCGCTGCTAATGTTTCAATAATTCACCAAAAATAATTCGAACTATTTGCATGTTCAGTGATGTAATCTTAAAAGTAAATACTAGGTTAATGGAATAGTAGTGTTTTACGCTGTCAACAATCTTATTGTTAAGGTTATACTGCATTAATAAAGTAATTGTTTTTAGACAACTCATATGGTATACAAGCTGAGGACACAACTTTATGAACAGTCTTCTATTATAGCTGATGGGTTTGTGGATGAAGATGCTAAATGGTAAGATCAACCTTTATGCAGTATATTTATATTTAAGTTCTATTTTTTTTATAATCAGTACATAAATACGTGATCACTTTACCTACAGGTGAAATATCATTATGGATGGACTTTGTTGTCTGATCAGCTGAGTTACAGTACTTCCCTTCAAATCTGAACGTGATTTTTTTTATCCTTAGCGAGGTCAATTCTGGACAAAGGTGGCTTCTTGTCACTTGGCTGCTAACTATTGATGCAAACTACAAGTAGGCTAGGAAAGGTGGATAGTTACAAGATCACAGTTTACATTTTCCCTTAACAAAACATGAAAAATACTAATGGTGCAAAAAAATTTCAATCTGAAATTATCTTTAGTCATTGCGATAAGTTTTTGGATACCTGGTTTTCAACACAAAATTTACAATCCATCACATTATAATTTGTGAGTGTCTGTCTTAAAATATGCTAGAAGTGTAAAAGTGTTATCTACATTCAAGTGTTGGTTCATTATAAGATACGGTAATTTAAATTGTCTATCAAATTAGCATTGAAGGAAATTAATAACTAGACAGATTATTAATTCCAAGTAGATTTGATGTGACTATTTTTTATTTATAGAACAGAATAAAAGTCACTTGGCAACCAAAATCCAAATAATCAAAACATAAAACAAAAAGAAATCACCTGTACTTCTACAGTGAACTTCTTCAGTTACATCAGACAGACAGATTAGTTACATCTTCTCCCCCACCGCATAAAACCGCTACCTTGGTAAGGGGCGATTTCCCATTTGTCCCAGTTGGTAACGTCAACTATTCAGCATTGTCCATCTTTTCCTGGGTCTACCTCTGATATTCGTCCGAGAGGCCAAGTATTCCTTGGATTGTTTTCGTCTCCTATGATAGCCAAGTCACCAACTTTTGATGGTTCAGCTCTCATATGCCACTTGCATCGCTTGGTTGTACATGGAATATATTCATCGTCTCCAAAAACTGTCAAGGCGGGTTTTCTCTCTTGCAAGTAATTTCTTACAAAGGTTGTCTTCAATAATAGGGAACTCAAATATCTCCCCGAGGAAGTGGTTGGGTGTTGACGGCTTGGGGTCTCCAGAACCCCATCTGAATCCGTTTCTTGAGACGGTGCGTTGGGGTTGAGCATTGTTGAGGTTAGCGACCATCTTGGATAATTTCAAACCGCTGCTAAAGAGTTATTTACTCTCCAAAAATATTTTTTCAAACACCAAAGTGATCATAGTTTAAACGAGAGCTCGCCTTATGGTCGAAAACTCAACCAAAAGTATGTATTGTGCAAAATATTTTCAACCCACGCTGTGAATAAAACATTCAATTTTAATTTATTTAATTTCTTTTGATTTTCTGTTTATATTTTGTTGTTATTCCGTCGCCAACATGACAACCCATAAGGCCCATGTTATTGTTTTTAAAAATTTAAAATTCATTTTTGTTTTTATATTTTGGCCTATTTTAATTTTTAAAGGAATTCTGCACATCTACAGGAAAACATCTTTCATTTGATACCAACCACGTGCAATTTGGTCTTGTAGTATGGTCAGGCTAGCTGTCATAAGCTTTGCAAAAGTTTTTTTAGTATATTTACATCTAGTATTAATACTATAGGATTAGAAATGTTCTTTGCAGTGTTGAATTGTTCTCCAAGGGAGTCCATGAAAGCTGTCGACCATCTTGGATTAGTCCACCATAAGAGCAATGTTAAATTTGTTAATTTTAAACCACCACTGAAGAGTTATTAACCATCTCAAAATATTTTTTCAAACATCAGAGTGATTTTAATTTTAATATTTGGAATACTGTGAGACGAGAAATTGTCTTTGTAGTTTTTTAATTGCTCATTGAGTTAAAACGTCCAGGCTTCAAGGACTCTTAAGGGTCTTAACTGCGTTACGTAGCTCTTTTTCTGCGGCCACATAAATTAGTTCCGTTCTCAAAATACATCTTGGAAGGACAAGGTATTCGACTGATACATGCTTAAGAACCACAAAAACAACTTTATGTTTTCAATGAGTGGGCTACTTCTAGGTGTGTACGGCACGTGTGGTTAGGTAAGTGCAGATGACGCCGTAGCGTTTTTCGTGACGTCTTCCATAGTCATCTCTATTGGTCCAAAATAATCAACACCGGTAAAGAAGAAAGGGTGTTTGGCTTCCGAGACTCTAGATTATGGTATAGGAGCCATTTGGGGAGGTGTTGGTTAGGCACTATTAATTTGGCACTTCATGCAAGTATTTTTCACCTTTTTTACTGCACATCGTAGATAAGTTATCCAGAATCTCTTTTCACTACGTTAATAACTGTTTCTATTCCTTAGTGGAAACAATCTGCATCAATCATTCTTATAATCAGTTTAGAAATATGATTTTACCCATCTAGTAGAATTGGTTGTCTTTTATCCGGTCCGAAAGCTGGGGCATTGCTTGTTCTTGTTGAAATTTGAATTAGACCTGTCGATTCTTCAAGAAAGGCAACCAATGCATAGATATGACTAGATTTAGTTAAGGGTCGCTTGCGGGTCAACAAGTATTTTTCATCACTGAAGCTTTGGTCTTGAGCTTTCTCCAAAAATACTTGTTCCGCTGCATTTTTCTCATTTGGGTGAAGCTCAAGTATGACGTCATATTCAATGTGTAGTTGAAGATCTTCCATGTTATCTAATTTGGTTCGCTGTCTCAGAGCCTCTATATATTTTACAACCCACCCCAGTGTTCGGGTCAGCTTTTCCCAAGAAGAAAATGTGTAGACATAAATAAGTGATTGGACTTCTTCGTGGATACCAACGTATTGTTACTTCATTTCCAAGTCTCCCTTAGATTCCAGGGTAGACGGTTGTTATGGCCAGTTGTCTACTTCCCTGGTTAGGAAGCTTGGTCCATGGATCCATTCTTGCTACAACGTAGAGTTGAATCTCCTGCTTGACCTCGTTGCAAAGTCTGCCGCGTTTTGTTTTGCAAGGACCCATCCCCACTCTTCAGGCTGTGGTAGACGCTGGATGTCTCCGATCCTATTTGAAACAAACAGTTTATATGTCTTTGGGGCCTCCTTAATCCAGTGTAGGTCCGTAACCGAGTCAGACCAAAATTATTGTTGGTCAATGTGAATTCTAAAGTCATTTTCAATTCTGTTAGCTAGCCTGCATTCAGGAATCGTCGATCTGTTGGACAAGATAAATGACCGCTGCGAACGTCTCCTGACTTGCATCTACAAACGAGTGTGGACTGATTTTCTTAGACTTGCGATTGTTCTTGAAGTAACAACTTGGAATACTAAAGATTTGAAGGTCTTGAACTTCTTCTAGCCAACATTTCCACTTCTCAACTTCCACTTCTTGTAATGTGGTACTACTTACTGTAGTCTCAAGTTGTCTTGATCTGCCAGACTTCCTGAACAAGAAGCCTTCTTTTAATGTTCGTCGGTCAAACTAGGCATAAAGGGTCGAAAATAGACATGACTGCCCTTAATATCTCTCTTTTTGTCGGATACAAAGCCTTTTCTAACTTTTCAGCACTATGTTGATAGTCAAAACTGTCTGATTCCGCAATCCATCACATACCCAATTCAATTATGTCGCCTACTGTGATTAACTTATTTTATACTTAATTACTAGTGCATATATTTTTAGTCAGTCTGTCTGTATTATTTATAATTTTACCTAACCCTCCATGTTAAACTTCCCTATCCCAAGCATGATGTATACAACTTCTTTACTTCACGAGTGATGTTAAGTTGAAAAATATTGTTCGTAATCTCCTGTATATTGTCGGGTCAGGTAAAATCTTGTACGTTACACGTTACGCAAGAGCTTGGATACATCAATTAGGAGAATTATGCATTACATTATGCACAACATTCATCTGCGTGATGTAAAAACGCTCTTACTACACTTGTAACGTAAATAGCTATCTTATAGGTACTTATTTATCGTGCATGTAAACCTTTAATTGATTTCATGTATCTCTCGGTTTACCTTGCTTACTATTTATTGACATGATATATTGCATTTTATGTATAATGTTTAATGATCAAATAAATCTATCCATCTATCTATCTACCATGGACTCTTCTGTGGGCAAATTGGTGTCAGATATCAATTGTCTTTGTAGATTTTGCTTTAAGGTATTCAAGAACATATTGTAAGACTTTTTCGAGTTTCATAGCCAATTACACATTTTTAAATCGTCCGGCCTTGTGTATTTCAGAAATTTCTCGTATTCGAGAACGAGCCTCCTCTTCAGAGGTGGTAGAGTCTAGGTAGGAGGTTGTCCATGTATTATTTTGCTGCAGGGTAGATAGACTCAAACTGCTTTGAATTGTGGTTAATTACGTAGAGTGCAGAACATGGCAAACAAGTAGAACCGAATGTCATGGCTTTCATAAGGTACGTGACTGGTTCTTGATGCGGATTTCAAACGTTTGTTCGTGGTTTAATGTTGTTTTAAGATAATTAAAGATTTGTTCAGTCTCAATCAAGAGAATCGTAGTGAAATATTCACTACGTTGATCCGTATCAAAGACACCAGACAAACTAACCTCCAGGCATTCCAGGTTTGAAGTGAACTTCTTGGTTGGATATAAAGATGACGATGATTGGTCTCAAATTGAAAAGCCTCGCATTCTAAAAAAAGAAGACGATGGTCGGCCTGACATTGCATTCCAATTTAATCCAAGGTTTGCTGAGAATATCAACACATACCGTAATACCTACATCAATGGCACGTGGGGCGTTAAGGAGGGATCAATTGCTGAAAGGTTTCCGTTCCGTCGAGGACAGCCGTTCTTTCTCGAGTTCTACATCACCAAAGCCGAGTTTATGGTTAGTTTCAGAAGTGTCAAAAGTAGTAAGCATTCCTAAAAATAAATAAATGTGATAATTTCACAGTTCAGTTGATTATATGTATTGCTTTTACTGCTCTAAATGTGATCATGGTAATTCCAAAATATGTATTTATCAAAGTAGGAACGGAGGGCTTTCTTTGAGGTATGTAAGACTTAATTAAATAGTATATATACATGAGCGGGTTGTTTAAGCAACATACTTGTTCCTCTTAATACAGGCTTCTTGTTCGTTTACTTACTCAACTTATTAGACATACAAGACTATACTTCCTATAGGTCCACTTTTTCTAGGTTTAAAATTATAACCAGTTATCTTTTATTGTTTTGAATGCTTATATAACATGTAGAAAGTATCAAAATATTATATTTCCCACTTAATACTTAGAGTATCTAAAGTATTTGTCTAAAGTATTCTGTAGCCTTGTTTATAGTCTTGGTAGCTGAGTGGTTAACAGTAAATCCTGAGAAAAAAGCATATCATTAAGACTTTCTAAACTAGACCTTGCTGTCCTTGGATTGTTAGGTCTTTTAAAACTCATCTTTCCCTGGTGTGTTTTTATCAGGTGGCTGTAGATGGTCGGCACTTCATCTCCTACAAACACAGAGAACCTTTCAGGTCTGTCACCAGGATCCAGTTTCGTGGAGATATAACTCTGGCCAACGTCGACTTCCAGGACACTCCCAAGTACCCTTCCCCTCAGCCACAGGTGGGTGAATTTGCTGTTTTGTAGATAATTTGATCACATTCAAGTGTAGGAGCCAGCAACTGAAAAGTGCACCATAAACAAAAGCATAACTTAAATATTGAGGAGTGTTAGGGTAAGTATTATTTAATGGTGTAAAATTAGAAAAAATATTCATCCGACTAAATATAAACAAATCTTTTATCCTTAAGGATAAATTAAGGACTTCCAAGGCCAGCTGGGCAAAGGGAGCCTGATGGCATTTCTTGAAAATGATTTTTATTGAACACCTAGAGCTTAATTAGAACCTCTATTTTAATTCCCGAGTACCTATGGTTTGTATTTTTTGGTTAAATTGATCAGTGAGTGAGTGAGTGGTATTGCCTTTAATAAGTATATATTTTGATGACTCTTGAAATATTCTTTTGCATGCTACAATTACATTGGCGTATGCTGTTTTGTATCATTGTTATAAAAATAAATAAATAAATTACCTAAAAAGTTGTGATTTTATGATAAAGTGTTATGTACTCTTTTATTTAGCATTTAAAAATTCCTAATAAACAACATCAAGTTCAAAAATACCAAATAGAAAAAGGGGAAATATCATGATTTATTGTTGTAAACTAAGTAGATGGTCTTAATTATCAATTATTTAAGATGGGGACCAATAATATGACTAATAATAATATTAATATGGGGATCGCTGAATATGTCCTATTAAGAATTGGATTTAGAACTGGAAATCCACCTAGTCAGTAGGTTTGCTGGTTGTGGGCGTATTATAGAGCAATATTTACATGTTTTTAAATTGTAAAGGTTTTTTTGTTTAACAGGGCAAATGAAAATGTTAGAAATATAATCATTGTTTTGAATTTACTTTTACTAGTGTGTAGTGTTCTTTTAAATGCATTCTAAGTTTTTTTGCAGGGAGTGTGGATACCTGCAGAAGATTATGTAAGTAGAATTTGAGTTGGTTATTATTATACGTTGAAATTAATAACCCAAAAGTAGTGGTTATAGAATAGAAGAAAGTCTTATAAAAGTAAACATTATTAATAGCTAAATACTCCAATGCAAGTTTATGAAAACGAATACTTGATAAAAAAAAGTATTCTTGATATCACTGATCAACACTTTATTATGAATAATTCAGATTACGATTAAATTTATTTTCATTATTGTGTTACAAAAAGTGCAATTTATGTCCAAAAAAGTACAAACTGACAACAAAGTCCAATAAATTTATTTATAATGCATCTTTATTTTTTGTATCTTTATATAATATAGAAATTAAGGTTCAACAGGTTTACTATTACATTTAATCTTTAATTATGCAGAATGAGGAGGAGCATGGCGTACAAATTACTACCTCTGTAAGTACGGTATGTTGAGAATATCATTTTTATATTTTTGATGTAAAGATAATTTTTTAAATTAATATATATGTTTTAGCTCTTGACCTGGGATATAACTAACAATAGGTTTTATTTTTTGTCAACAGCTCAATAAGTTGTAACCTGAGTTAGAGCCGTTTCGGGATTAACATGCCATCATCAGACGTCTTCAGCTGAAGCAGCGTCGTCACATTGGAAACACATAACACGGACACATTTTACAATTACAAAAAATACTAACATAAAATTAACAGGCCTGTCACTAACGCGGTACCAGTTGACATGATCTGAACTCAGGTTATAACTGATTGAGCTGTTGACGAAAGTAAAACATATTTTAGTAACATTTTTGACCTGCTGAAGTAAACAAGTCTGGCCCGTAGACCACAAATACTATTATTTGATAATAAAATGGAACGATCCATTCTAGAGGGTCAAGATTCATAGGTTTATTCGCTGATCTAATCGTTGAAAACTTAACACAGCATAGAGAGGGGCCTGGCCTTTCTGGTGACGTCTGGTTTACTACCGTGGTTTTACTGTGCAATGTCTATTTGCAGTATTCACTACCACATTAAAGCAGGGATATATATAGAGATGATGAATATAACATTTAAATTAAGGGGCTTGCCATCATTAGATGACAGATGTTTTAATACCTCTTGTGACCCTTGACATTTTCTTATTAGGACGTTTGTTTACGATAAAGCATGGAAGAAATTGCCATTCTAATTTGTTTTGGAAAACCTGAAAAGGTCAGTAGTTTTTTAATATTTAAGGTAGATGAACATGCACTATCCAATGTGTAGGGTTTTAATGTAAAGTGTAATCTGAAGTTTATATAAGAATATTTTAAAGTGACAGAAGATCGTTTAACTGCCAAACCTAATTTTCCTTTATTTTATTTTTTTATTTGATTTTCAACTTGCAGATTCTCTTGCAGAGTTTGAAATTAAATGAAATGATGAAATGAAATAATATTTTATTCGTCTATAGACATATAAATGCATGAGACACAGTAAAATTATATAAATACATGTTGGAAGAGGCACAAGTCAAGTTCAGTCAACTAATAATAATAGTAAGCATAGACAGATATAAAATAATAAAATAATAAAATAAAATATTATTTTATATTTGTCTTACCAGTTCAGGGGCAAGCCACAACAATGAGTAAGTAAAGCATAGACAGGCTGAAAAGAAATTCAAGGCTGGAATTATATAATCATATGTGGTTATGTCATTGGTTGTAAAGCAAATAAACGGTATCAGCATTCTGACACATACTTTCTCCCATAAGTTTGTCAACAACCTTTATCATGTGTAAGCGGTGAGAGTAAATATACGGAAATGGGATTTGTAAGATTTTCTTCAGAATTTAAAGGACTATAACATACTAAATTTTTATCAAAATCGTTCGGGCCATTTTTGGGAAAATCCTATTTTTCCGTTATTTTATGGGGTTTTATGGGAAAATCCCCATTAAAAATAAAAATTTCTAAAAAGTGAAAAAAAAACTATCAAAATTGTAAGGACCATAACATACTATGTTAAATCAAAACCGGATCTTTGTCTAAAACCCTATTTTTCGTTATTTTATGGGTTTTTATGGGAAAATAACATAATTTACCATAACTTTTGAACCGTAATTTTTACAGAAATGGGATTTGTACCATTTTGTTCAGAATTTAAAGGGCTACAACATACTAAATTTTTATCAAAATCGTTCGGGCCATTTTTGAGAAAATCCGATTTTTCCTGTTTTTTATGGGTTTTTATGGGAAAATCCCCATTAAAAATCAAAATTTCAAAAAAATGAAAAAAACGCCTGGAGATACCATGGATTACAACCTACATACCAAATTTCATCGAAATCGGACCACAGGTGTAGTCTCTAGCTCTGTACACATCCAGACACACAGACACACACACACACACACACACAGACATCACTTCGAAAACCACTTTTTTGGGTCCAGGGGGACCCAAAACGAATATATCCACTCAAAACTCAAACTCGAAAATTTTGACGAAAACAATACTTTCTCCATATACTATGGTATAGGGGGAGAAAGTAAAAAAATCATCAATCTTATACAGAGGGTTTCTGACAAGCCATTCATAAATTGCATTCTTAAAACTATTGTAGGGGAGGTGAATTAATCTTGGCGATAGTTAATTCCACAACTTTCTACCCATAATAATATGGCTTCTTTTAATATTTTCCAGTCTTGTAAAAGGAGTGTCAAGGTTTTCTCTTTTCCTAGTGTCAAAGCTATCCCAAAGGATTATCCCGTAGCTTAGAATTGACTATACAGGTCCAAAATTAACATTTTTGAGATGATTTAGAGGCAGAAGGTTCCTTAATTTTCTAAATAAATAAGTAAGCCTACTTAGTCTTGTGCATATATGTTGTACCTGGGAGTTCCAAGTCAGTTGGGGATCAACAATTACTCCAAGAAACTTCACATTTGAATTGCTAGTTTCCTCCATTTGAGGTGTAGGCCGCAAGCTAAAAAGCATAGACTGTGTTTTGTCCTCGTTGACAAGGAATTTATTTGCTGCAAACCATTCAGTGGTCAAACTTAGGCTACTTTCCACTGCAGCTACAAGCTGCGTTACATCTGAACCCTTACTTAGAATGGTGGTATCGTCTTCATAAAAATATGGATCACAGTTCAGGCTGAAGGGCAGGTCATTGATGGCAATGAGAAACAGGAGAGGACCCAATACTGAGCCCTGAGGTACTCCACAGTTAGTGGATAGAACAGAGGACCAGGTATTGCCTATGCAAACTGTCTGTCTTCGATCAGCAAGGTATGTCCTAAAAAGGCTGAGGCTCCCACCACGGATACCATAATACTCCAGCTTTTGGAAGAGGATACCATGGTCAACACAGTCAAAGGCCTTCTTGCTTAGGTCAATAAAAGTAGCCCAAGCAGCCTCTCGACTTTCAAAACAATTGAAGACTGTGCGGACCATGGCATCGATGGCCCCCGTAGTAGAGCGTCCAGCCCTGAAACCATATTATTGTTCGTTGAACAGAGCATGATACTCAAAAAGATTACTCACCTGGTTACCTGGTTACATGTTCGACTACCTTAGCCAAAGTCGGGACCAGACTGATAAGCCGATAGCTCTGAGGACTAGCTTTATCCCCCTTTTTGAAAATCGGACAGATCTTTGACAATTTTAAAAATTCAGGAAAATAGTCCTTCCTGAAGACAGGCTTTTATGCATACTGTGAGAGGGAAAAAAACACAGGAGAAGGTCTCTTTGATGAACCAGTTAGAAATGTCATAAATATATTTTGTTTTTGAGTTTTTCATCTTCCTAATTACCGATAGGACTTAATCACAAGTTACGTAACTAATCCTGAATGATGCATTTGTTTGAGAGGCATTCTTTAGAAAAACGTCAAAAGAAGTATTTACACTACTTATCTCAGATCTAATACTAATTACTGAGTCAATAAAACCTTTATTGAGATCATTGGGATGTATGGGGATGTCAACTTGTTTTGTACTACTACCAGAGTTCTCTTTTCTTTTACAATTTTCCAAGCAGTTTTGCATTTGTTTTGCGAGTTCTCTATCACCTTGGCATTGTGTTTTAGCTTGGCATCATTGATCGCTTTTCTATAGAACTTTTAGAATTTTGATATTCTAACTTAAGAGTAGGAAAATTATTACTAGACTTAAGGTTAAGGTATTTAAGATGAAGTTGTTCCTTGAGCCTGAGTAAATTATCATCAAACCAGCTATGTTTAAGTGTGTTTTTGTTATTCTGAGGCTTAGATCTAATAAGTGGAAAACACAACAAACTCATGCATAAAAGTCTCAAAAAAGTTTTGAGAAATGTTACCTGGTTGTAGTGTTCCAAGGGGAGTAAATTCCTTTGTCCAATCAGTGTTGAGCATTTTTGATTTGAAAAGTGTGAGATTGTGTTCAGAGGAAAACCTTATAAAGGTCTTCTCGTCTGTATTTACAGGCTCAAGGTTTTTACAAACAATTGCAAACAGAGCGAGTCCATCATGGTCCGAAAAGTGACACGGAGCAACAGAGGTGGAGAGGTTATCGCTGCCACAGTTTGTGAACACGTTGTCAAGGCAGGCGTTGTATCTTGTTCGTTGGTCGTTGTGGTGATACAGGTTATGTTGTCTTAATAGGTTCAGGAGTCTGATGACCGGGGTACTTGGCTTGGTGACGTCAAACTGGGCATTAACATCACCACTAATTATAGTTTTGTAATTGGGCCATTTTGAGATAAGGTGGAGGATTTTTTCCAGGTTTTCAAGAAACAACCATACACTGCTATCTGGTGTGCGGTAGATAGACATAAGAATAAGCTTGTGCTTACTTATAAATACAGCACACGCTCCAATAGGCTTTTCAATGTAAATGTCTGAAAGGTTAATTTTACAGCACTGAAATTCACTTTTGGAAAAAATAAGAGTTCCACCTCTGCTAGAGCTATCAGTTTTAAAATTATACCAATAATGTAATACCCCCAACGTAGCAGATATGCAGACTAAGCGAATGCTCAGCTGCCTGATTATATTTTAGCTCAAATATCTCCCTTAAAATGTCAGATTAATTCCCTGTAAAAAAAAACATTAGTTTAACGAATTCATAGGTTTTCTGCTACAGGAAAGGTAAGAGTGTTTTACGTGTGAAACATTAATAGTTTAATAGTTTTAAGTCTTTTTAAGCAACTTAAAGATTGAGATTGACGTAGTACCATAAATAAGCTTGATATACTCTTGCCAAATAAGAAATTGAACTTATAATTTGTCTTGTATGGTTACAGCAGACAGAAAACCAGAAACCATGATGATGTTATGATGTGAGACAAACAACAAACCCATGGAGAGAAAATATACAAGAGAGAAAATGTCAAACTTACATTGTACACCGTAATTAGGATGCAGTACTAAATATAAAAAGCAGTATTAAAAATGTCTTCCACTATTGAGATCTATTTCGATCTATTTGATAAAAACATATCTTTAGTTCTTTAGATTTTCACTCATGGTGTCATTCTCAAGCCTTAAAGACGTTTTGTCACTCCTAGGAGGTCGTCATTAAGTCTTGAAAACAAATACACGAGACACGCACAAACATATTTACAAATAAATAAGACAGTATGGCCATACAAACACTAATTTTCACGACACGGCTGCGGGTTCAGGGTGTAGGTCTAGACTGACCGTCACCGTGTCCGTTCCCTCCCCCCTTCCATCACATTGTTATCAGCGTCTTTGTCTTCTGATAATCCTTCTATCATTGCGGCTGTTTCATAATTATGTCAGATTCAAACGACATTTTTTCGTTAAGAATGTGTTGGGGGATTTTTGGAATTGAACATCTCATATTCTTCAATAGTGTCGATGATACGGCCTCTTTTTTGTGTAAAAATGTAGCACATCGATGGTTTTGTTTCTCAAAACACCTGAATGTTTATGGAATAGCATTGTTATTTGAAATTTTTTTCTTCAATGTGCTATTTAAGTAAGTGCCGAACTCTTTTGATATATATATTGGATTGTTGGATCTTTTGACAGTGTAAACGTTTTTATCTTTGTGTTTCTTAATCAGTTTGTCAATAATATTACTATTGTACCCATTGGACACTGCGATGTGTTTTTGTGTGTTGACCTCCTCCTTGTAATCTTCTTTAGACAATGGAATTGACAACAATCTATTGACGAAACTATGATAAGTGGCTAATTTCTGATTTTGAGGATGGTGTGAGGTATTGTGTATCGTCTGGTTTGTGGTCGTAGGTTTACGGTAAATTTGGAATTTCAGTTTGTTTTCGTCACAGCATTTTGAAATGTTTAAGTCCAGAAAATTTAATGATTTGTTGTTTTCAACCTCAAGTGTAAACTTGATGTTCCTGTGCAGACTGTTTAAGTAAAGTACGTGCATATCATTCCCAGCTGTCTTTTGGTCCCATTAAAAAGGACAATGGTGTCGTTCACGTAAAAAACCATCTTGTCTTTTAATTGGTTTTTGTGAGACCGCAGATGTTTGATTTCCAAGTTATTCAAATATATTTCAGCCAAAATACAAGATAAGGGTGATCCCACAGTCCTTCCTGAAAAATATTTCGTTTTTAAATTGAAAGTAATTTTGTCTTAGAACTATTTCAGTGACTTTTATCAGCTCGTCAACAGCCATCTTATTTAATGAAGAGCTTTTTTAGCAAGTGTTTCATTTATTGGCACATTAGTATATAAATTTACTACGTCAAGTGATGCTAGGATGTATTTATCTTCCAGTCTTACATTACTTACTAATTAGCTCAACACTTTTTTTTTACTAGAACTATTTTCTACCTTAAACTCCCTCGTTAATATGTTGTCCAGCTTTTTTGCAACTTTATAAGCTGCTGATGGGATAAAATTTACTAATGGTCTGATAGGAATGTCGGGTATGTGAATTGTAGGTAGGCCTCTGAAAAAAGAGGTCGTTTTCTCGACACTATAGAAGAATATGAGATTTTCAAGGCCGGCAAAAAATCTCCTAAACACATTCTTAACAAAAAACGTCGTTTGAAACTGATATAATTTATGAAAAGACGCAATGATTGAAGGATTATCAGAAGACAAAGACGCTGATAACAATGTAATGGAAAGGGGGGGGGGAGGGAATAGGCGCCTTAAAATAAGAAAATAAATAGCAAAACCTAGAAATAATTAGAACACAGATGAAACCATTGTTGTTCGATAGTGAAAAGTATTGTGAATAACATATCATAAGTCTCCAAAAATATCTTTGGTGGAACACCACCATTTTTCCAAAATGGCGGCCAAATCCAGTAGTTTTTTGCTTTTTATTGAAATTCTGACTTTCCAGTCAATATTGGTGAAAAGTCGTCAATACATTTAATGTTCCTCCTGAAATTACCTTTAAAATGATACCAAATACATGTACCTACAACAAAAAATAAACCCCGTAGAAATAATAAAACATTTCAAATAAAAATATTTTTTTATAAATTAATGTAATAGTCCAAGCAAACTAAAAAAAAACCAGACACAGGGATCGTATAAAAATTTGCAAGTAAACATGTTATGGTTTTATTTTTATTGTTGTGGTGTGCAAAGTGACATACCAAAAGTTGCAAAAAATCAGTCCACGGGAAACCCCTAAATTAAGGAAAAAATTGCGGCTTTTCCCAATATTGGACAAATTTTGCAACAAAAGATACCACATGTTTTTTTGCACATTTTTCGAGATATTGACTTGGAACCACGACCGAAATTTATTGGATAGTCCGTACTTAATTTCAATAGGGGACGCTTTTTGGGCCGCCATCTTGGATCAGCCATATTGGATCTGCCATATTGGATATAAATATTTTTTAATGTAATTATAGTGTTGTGACACATCATTATGAACTAGATTTCCACACTGATTTCAATGCTGAAATCAGTTTTTTAAATATCGTTTTACGATTTTAATATATATTAAAAAGAAAACTCTCCCCCATACATTTCTTATGGACGTTTCGTACTTTGACAATTTAAAAACACATTGAAAACTACCACATTGTAAGGTTGTACTATCAGGTTCAAGTATGGCGTGGAAATAGTTCACCAGCAGATCCAACAGATTGGGAGTGGTGTTTGACTGATGGTACATATGACTAACTTACTTATAAATAACTGTACTTATAAATAACTGTAACTGTGTTACTTGGAAATTATATTTAGATTTGGATATGGCCTTTAAAAAATTTCAACAAAACGTTTTATGGTTTTATTTTGTAGTGTTGTGCAGAGTGAAAAAGGGAAAAACTCGTCATAGCTATTCGTTCAAGTACGGTATTGACTTTTATTTTAGCTATGGATTCCTTATTGGGAGTTATTTAGAATTGGGGATAAATGTCTTTAACTAAAGACAAATTTCAAAATAACAATAATTCATTCAATAGTTCATTGAAGGTAGTCCTACATGATTCGTTTTAAATTTGTCATGTGTCACTTAATAATCAATAAAATTAAAGCCAAACATTTACTGAGTACTTTGATACCAGAATGAACTTGTTAACATATTAACATCCCGAGATATAAATCTTTTAACAAAAACTGATAAAAAAAGTTTAATTTACTTTTGTGTTGGGGTTTGTACCTCGTCTATAACTAGTCTGTTTTAACTATAAATAAAACAAAATGAAAGCTAACTAAAATGAAAGATCTTTTATCACTGAATATTTTAAGGCTAGAACGAACTGCAAGCAATAATAATACCTGGAGAAAAATAATCCAAACACATTTTCAAAGTAACTTACGATACGTCCATAACTGATATATATGGGAGAGTTTTCGTTTTAATATATCTTAAGCAACGAAAAAACTTATTTAAAAACGGATTTCAGCATTGAAATCAGCGTGGAAATCTAGTTCATAATGATGTGTCACAACACTATAATTACATTAAACAATATTTATATCCAATATGGCTGATCCAAGATGGCGGCCCAAAAAGCGTTCCCTATTGAAATTAGGTACGGACCATCCAATAAATATCGGCCGTGGTTCCAAGTCAATGTCTCGAAAAATGTGCAAAAAAACATGTGGTATCTTTTGTTGCAAAATTTTTCCAATATTGGGAAAAGCCGCAATTTTTTCCTTAATTTAGGGGATTCCCATAGACTGATTTTTGCAACTTTTGGTATGTCACTCTGCACACCACAACAATAAAAATAAAACCATAAAATGTTTACTTGCAAATTTTTATACGATCCCTGTGTCTGATTTTTTTTAGTTTGCTTGGACTATTACATTAATTTATAAAAAATATATTTTTTTTAAATATTTTATTATTTCTACGGGGGTTTTTTGTTGTTGTAGGTACATGCATTTCGTATCATTTTAAAGGTAATTTCAGGAGGAACATTAAATGTATTGACGACTTTTCACCAATATTGACTGGAAAGTCAGAATTTCAATAAAAAGCAAAAAACTACTGGATTTGGCCGCCATTTTGGAAAAATGGTGGTGTTCCACCAAAGATATTTTTGGAGACTTTTGATATGTTATTCACAATACTTTTCACTATCGAACAACAATGGTTTCATCTGTGTTCTAATTATTCATAGGTCAAACCACATATTCAGGGGCCTAGAAAGGACACGGCGACGGTCAGTCTAGACCTACACCCTGAACCCGCAGCCGTGCCAAGAAAATTAGTGTTCTTGTATGGCCTTACTGTATTATTTATTTGTAAATATGTTTGTACGTGTCTCACGTATATGTTTTCAAGACTTTAGGAGTGACAACACGTCTTTAAGGCTTGACAATGACACCATGAGTGTCGAAACCGGTCGCCATCCAGACGACAGTGGATTACAGTGGCAACAATAAGGCATTTAACCTCTAGAATAATATTGTTAAGTAATCCGGAAGGCAACACCTCAAAAATAAATTTAATTACTGTTAATATTTCAGTTACAATTTAAGGAAACGTGTGCTACAAATATTTAATGACTTGGTTGACATGAAATATTTACCATTTTACAACGGAAAAAGCGTGAAAACCTGGACAGTTTGATATACTAAAAAGAAAACAGAATTAACTCTGTGCTGCATTTCTTTAGCAATCATTGAAAGAGCCGATTGGCAAACTATGGAAACATATAAAAGTCAAAGAACACCACCAAGTAGAAGAAATGGAAATCACGATTTTTTCATTTATAATCGTTATTATGAACAACCTAGTGCAGCTATGAGTGGATTGGAAACATTCCCAGAAAACGCTAAAAACTATATTAGCTTTTGAAAAATGATAAGATACAATAAATGTTGATTATATCGAACTAGTATGTACATCATGAGTATTTCCATAATCAGACGACTCTTTTAAAGTCATCGCCTGTAATACTTCGCAATTGCTCGAATTCGAGCAACAGGTGAACTAGTCCATATATAAATCCCAAAGTACTCATGAACTTTTGAGAAAAC